TTGTGTTTCTTGATGACCCAGTAGAAGAAGGAATAAGGGCTACCTGCCCCCCCCCCCCCCGAAAAAAAATGTCCCAAAACAACCCAATCATTATAATCGTTTACCAAAACGTGCATGATGGATCCCCCGGATGGATCCTTATTTAGACAGTGAGACAGTTCTGTTACGAGAAGCAATTCAACGAATTGCCATGGCTTGTATTTGTTCTAGAACGTACTACGCTCTTTCGATAAACATGTGGCCCTATTCAGCACAATATATACGCATTTTAGTTATTCTTAACAATGACCTAGATCTAAAACTGGCCGCGGATGTAACCCCCCCCCCCCTTCGTCGCAAAGAAATATTCGATAAAATTCTTTGACACAGAATGATAAACTAATTCTTCTTGAGATATGTTTGGGGTGAAATTTCAAACATCATTTCCTGGTAACTCTCTTCTTTTTTAATGCATGCTCTATCTTACGATTTAGGCATAATTTACTATGTTGATTTGCAATTGATAATCTCCCTGGGAGTTTTGCGATATCCCCGATGATACGGGTACAGTGTATTTAATTTTGTTCGTAACATTAGTGTTTTGCAAAGAAAGAACATTCTGAAAATGAGCGTCTTCCTTCTAACGAAACATATTGATGGTGTTCCCGACAATACGGATATCATTTGCTTAAAAAATCGTAATACAGATTAAAACGCTTTTTAAATCCAATTCAAGGAGAAAACTATGACATCTGATTGGATTTTCATTTTCAACATCACGGATTTTAAAATACGTTCTCTAATTTTAAGAAGATTCAAAGGATCTATGTATTGAAATAACAGACTGATGATACAATTATATGATTTATAATGATCATACGACAGAACTGTTTACAAGATGCAACAAAAATTGTTTAAAAAAAAAACAAGAAAATCGAAACATGCGATAACATCGCTATAAGGAAATATAAAATTACAATTAAAGTGTCAAAACATGCACGAGGAAAACAATGTCAGAGAGAGTGGGGTAAGTATAAAATAAATTGTTTTTTTGAACAAATCAATTTGTATTAAAATTGATACAGTATATTGAACACAATCATGAACAGAACAGGAGGAGATGAAAAAATGAACAATCATGCCAACGTTAACGCCTACAGAACTCCGATTTTGAGAGGAAAATAAACAAACATTGTAACCAATGTCATGTACGTAAAATAATATTAAAACAAATCAGTAGCCAAAGTAATGCTTTTCAGAGTCAAATCGCAAGACGAGAGCGACACACAAAGCGGGCACTACATGAATAACTAATGCGCCGGACCGGGCGCGAAAGGGCGCGAAAGCTATTCAAAGTTTAAGCTCCCATTCACAAATGTCAAGTGCTTCACCGGGGCGCGCCCTGGCAGGGTAATTTCGTAACAATGAGACTCCAAACAATAGCCAGATTTTAATGAGCTGGCAACCAACTGAAGTCCTCTCCTATCCGATGCAAAAAGGCGCTAATGGGCGCATAAAGGCGCCTCCTTTGTTCTCATATCCTGCTCTGCGCCCCGACGCGTCGCGGCACAGTCGCAACTTTGGAAGGCTCCCCTAAGGTTATGCCAAACACCCTGAAAGGATTAATGACAGTAATCGGGATTGGGGATTAGGAGACTTGATCTCGTATAGAGGAGTGCTTACTTACCCCCCCCCCCCCCTCCAATTCAGTATAAGCTTATTATCATCGGTCTGAAAATAAGTGTTTTGTGCTCATTCATATCCCTAAGTTTGTAACTGGCAACATCCGTCCCTTTTCCTTATTTCTTATATCCCACTGTATCAATTACACGATTTTGCTTTACATAACTGGTACCAGTCTAACAGTTCAAATTTGTCCTTATGATTGTTTTCTTTCTGTGGTTTTTTTTTTAGCTAGGCCTAATTTCGTGATACATTCTGACTGCTTCATGTGTATTCATATATCTACTGGCCTATTTCCATTTCTACATCTATACCAACTTTTATTCTCATGTAACTTGTATTTTGAATGTTACCGTATACTTTACCTTGCACAGTTACATGCAAATCAGCTGATAGCTGTGAAACGTGCTATTTGATAAACCGTTTTTATTTTGTGAATTGAATCTATCGATTGATGTGGGAGGATCTCCTTGATCTGTCAATCAACCTTAGAGGGGATTGGTATCCTAATTAGGTCGATTTCACAGGTAGGCTCGAACCTACTCAGGTAATGAATAGAAACTATTGATCACTATTGCGTTTTTTTTCTATAGTACAGCAGCATTTCTACTGTGTACCGGTCAGAGCATTTATGTTCCGTGGTAGAGTGACGCTTTTAATCTTTTCGCCATTATTGTTTGAAGATAAATGGGTGTTAGGTTATTGAATGTTTTTCAGATCAGTGATGCAGCCAGGGCTTTTATGTTATCAACATAATGTATGAAGAATGGGTAATGGGTGAAACATTTTGAGAAACAGAGTGAGAGAGAGAGAGAGAGAGAGAGAGAGAGAGAGAGAGGGGAGGGGGAGAAATAGATAGAGGGGGTGGGGCGGACATATAACACGAGAGACAAAGAGAGACAGATTGACGGAGGGAAAAAGAGAATGGACAGACGAAAGAAAAAAAAAATATATATAGAGAGAGAGAGAGAGAGAGAGAGAGAATGAGGGGTAGACAGACACACAGAGATAACAGAGACAAGTAAGAGAGAGAGAGAGAGAGAGAGAGAGAGAGAAAGCGAATAGACAGATTGAAGAAAGGAGAGCAATCGAGACAGAAAGAGAGGAGAGAAAGTAGAAAAACAAGATTCTATATAATTAGCAAAGAAACTCACTAAACCTTCGTACATGTCACTACGGTTGACAACCCATAATCCATAATCAATATACACAAACGCAATAGTAGATATTTCGTAGAGTATTTTGGTTGCTTTTATTAAGCATCAATTCAACTCACGTCATGAATACAGTTTCACCAAATCAACACCAAATAGTTTTGCCTGTCTGAATTATTTTCCTCTAACAAACAATTCAAGGCAGATGGGAAAGTATATGGTGGGGCTCAGTTAATGAAAAGGATATATGGCAACAGTAATGTGATAAATATCATGACACTGTTTACTAAAGTCAATGTCCCCTATATGATGACAACTATCATTTAAACCAGGGAAGTTTTACAGAGGTCCAAGTTTTTCTTTGTAAAACATGACAGCTTAAATGCCGGGTTTCAAAGATTAATTATAATACTGGCCTTTGAATAATAGTAATACATTATATTATGTAAAATAAAGTATTCTCCTAAACCATCATTAAAATGTCATAGAATACTAAATGATACAAAAGGTATTTATTGTGGGTTCATCATAAAGCTAAATGTGTAACAAACAAGTATCATTTATTATTTAGAACCTGTTCTGGAATCCATCTTTATCATCAAAATGTTCAGAAATAATAAACCCTTTCGTTCCACATTTAGCATGTGATGAAAACCCAACAATTAGTACCTCGTATATTATGAACAATAATAAAGCCTGAAAAACCCTGAAATGAACAAAGAACAGGGCTTGAAATTAGGCAATTGCTTGAAAGAAATTCCATTTCAAATAATCATTAATACCTGCAAAGAATTAATAGGAAATGGTAATTGTTCAATATTGAGTAATATATGGCCATAAGGTTACATGTAGATCTTCCAATGTATTGTTGAATTTATATATTAAATACACAAAGTTTAAAATGATAGATTCTTCAAAATAAAGATATCTGATGCATGTAGGTCTACCCATCAATTTCATAACTTTGAAAGTATTGGAAAAGAAGTTGTTTTTTATTTTGTAAATTGCTTTCTTTTCCTCACATTTATATGACTCCCTTCAAATCTTCTGTATTTTTGTATTCTAGATGTTTGCTTGGTAATTTCTTTGCTGCTTAAAAAAACTATAAAAGTAGTAACTGTTCTGTAATATATTAAAATATCTGTAAGCTATTAGTTGTGCATTCGCTAGATAGGTACTTGTTTTCAGTGGTCATACAATACATATATGAATCTCATATATTTACATCTAAAACAAAATTGAAAAAATTATATCTTTGCATTGGAATGTTTAAATAAGTCTATGAAAGTAATAATCATCCATATATTTAACTTCTAATTAATGTATGATCCATATGTATTTTACAACTTAGCATGTAAACTGGATGGATTTATATAGCACTCTTTCAAATAAAAATACACTGTAATCAAACACAACTCATTACAAAACCAAATCTATGTCTGTACAATCATAAAAACAAATGGAATACAAATAAATGCAATGTACATGAAGCAACAACACACTGTTTTTGTTTTTACATGGCAAATTATAAAATACTAATAAAAGTAAGAACACAGTGCAGATTTGTTTGAACATAAAAAGGTTAGACTAACAAAACATGGAATATTTCAAGAATTAGATTGCACTTATAGAATGGTGTATGTACAGTACTTAGCAAGTATAGCTTGCTTGGGAAACTGGTATTAATGCCTTTTGACAAAGTTTCCAACAAAAGTTAGTACATCCCTAACAAAGAGAAAGATATTTGAATGTAACTTTGTTTACAAAGTTGAATTGAAAACACAAGTCTGAAAAAATGCCTTTTCCCCAAAGTTTGCAACATCTTACAAGAAACATGTTTGTGGATGCCAAGTTTGCAACTTCGTCATTGTAAACTAAAATGCCTTTAGGTGAGTGCATAGAATACATTAACAAGTCTTGCAATATTTTATTGTAAGTTGAAATAACCTACCGACTTATTCATGGTTGTATGCATTAGGATAATACTGTTTGCATGCATATCTATTTCATAATATTGGGATATATTTAAAAGTTATCAACATAAAACTTTATAAAATATCAAACAAAAATTAGGCACACTGTATCAAGTGAGATACATGTACATCATGAACCTACAATAGAGATTTTTCACTCATAACATTTCAAGGGTATTTTATATTGGTCCCTAATATATTAATGCTATCAAATCACACTCAGTTGTGTATAATTCATATCAATGTGATTACATGTGCTTTGCAGTAAAAATGAAACAAATAGTAACTGATAAAACAGAATCATACTTACACATGCAATTATAATACATCATAATTGATTACCATAAAATTTGAATATATTAGCATAAATTGTCTACATGTAGCAAGGTGATCTGATGGTCTAGAGGTGAAAACATTTTAAAATGAACAGTACTGCAATGACACACACAAAAACACACAAACACTAGTACAATAAGCCACTCGGAGGAACACTATGCATGGGCATATCAAAGGTCGTTTGTACAAATCAGCAATACCCATTGAGACAAATGCTGAGTGCATATTCATGAATGTTATGTAATCATTATTCATTTATGCACTAAGGGTATATTCTATGATAGACAGATGGAAGTATTCATTTTTACAGGTCTTCATAAAGCTCCTCCATCACTTTGGCACCCATTTTTTTCTAAAATACACAAAGTGGGACGTCTCCATGTTTAAAAGATCTGTGGATATTTGGGGGTCATCTGTACAAGAGCTATCTCCCAAGTGATCTGTACATGTTGAACTTCTTCAAAACAAAGGTACTTTTAGTACCTACATTGTTAGTGCACATTTACGATACTTAAGATCTTGTGAAAACAGGAGTACAATTTAATGTGCATGACCATGAGCTGTTTGCACACACGTTCAATCCAGGCACATATTTTGTCCAGTGTTTCTGTGAAACCAGGGCCTGCAAGACACTGCATCTGGCTATGATGCTGACCAGGGGTTCTTTACACGAGAACATTAGGAACATTTACACACAGGTAGGCAATGTAAGAGCATTTGAAGAAAAACTTTAAAGATTTAATAAAGAGCAGTCTGTGCATAAACAAGAAAGACACTTGATTTTCTATTGGATCTGTTTGCATGTCGAATACACTATACATACTTCCTCACTTGTGCACCAGATATTTTGGTGAAACCGGGCATTGTAGAAAGGCACAACTAATTCCAGGGGTTGTTTCCACGACTTGTCACACTCTCGATGGAATCTGCATGATAAAAGAAGACAAAGTATTATGAGTCAAAGAAAAAGGGTTTGGTAGTTAATGGCAGTCTCCCAGCAGATCCCAATACCCTCCAAAGCAGCGAAGGAACTCTTATACGAATAGTGTAGTGGGTTCTTAACGTGCAAAGGTGGTGACTCTCATCTACACGGGGCCTCCATTTAACGTTCTTTCCGAGGGACTTATTATATGACTTACCAGCAACGATAGATGACCTCTGACTTGCGGATGACTTCCTAAGGGATACTTCAGCATCGCTGGAAAATAATATACAATGATAATACATAAGATTAATGTTATAGAGTACTCTCCAAAATATCTCCCAAATATATATTTTTCTCTATATGTCAGGTAGTTCCATGTCGCTTTACTTTATTTAAAAATGTTTTGTCTTCAAATATTAAGCTGTAAAGCTGTAGAGAGAGTTATATGCACTCTCATTTATAACATGTGATTTGTGAATAGACTAATTAATGCAACCCTACATATTCACAACCGAATGATATAATACTTTTAAACTAAAATAACAACAACAGTACATCCTGGCATAAAGATTGGAGGCAATGAAATTCAGGGCTATTTCCCTGATACAAGTGATTTCTCTCAAATTCTCTGACATTTCCCTTGAAGGAAAAATTGGAGATCCTTTTTTCTCTCATTTCAAGGATTGCTGGGAACCCTGTACTGAACTAAATTGCAGAGTTTTCAAATTTACTTCAGCTCTCTTCATACCTCTTTCTTTGATTTCCTAATGGATGATGCCTCACTAGACAGCATCTACACCAAGCTGGTATCTCATGAGCACACTCTTTATCTCCTCTTAACCCCCGCCCCCCCTCCCTACTGCCCCTCCTCTTTTGTCAGTACACCATTGAAGTAGGGAGCACACAGTAAGGATTGACCAATTTTCAATCTTACCTCAGCTCTCGGACCTCTCTCCGTGACTTCCTTACGGGCGTCGCCTCCCTGGGTACAGCATCTCCACCCTGTGCTGGTAACCCATGAGCACTCCCATGTCCCCTGACCTCCTCTGTAACATCAACAAGCATATCATAGCAAATGAAGCTAAATAGGTAATATTTTTGACCAAAAAATTAATCTGCACAGTTGATTTCTGCCACACATAACTATTTTGGTTGTCTATTGATATTCATTTTTTCCCCCACATATCTGACCTTGTCGATTCTTGAGCTAGTGATGGCTTGTACAAACCCTCTCAGATTCTCTTTCTCTTTCTCTGTCTGTCTCCCTCTCTCTCTCACTTGCATTTATTTTCAAGTTTCATGTTTATACTATGTCTATTGCTTGAGGTAGCACTGGCTTGTACACACTCTCTCAGGTTCTCCACCCCCACACTATATTTCTCAATCATATATGTCTCCATCTTTCTCTTTTTCTTTCTCTCTCTCTCTCTCTCTCTCCAACCCCCACACACTCTTTTTCTCACCCACTCCCCTCTCTGTCTGTCTGTCTCTCACTATCTCTCTCTCTCTTCTATTATCCTACCATGACCGTTGCTCGAGCTAGTACTGGCCTGCACAAACTCTCTGAGCTTCTTCTTCAGATCTCTGCTTGTCTTCTTGTAATAGAATAGATCCTTCTCCAGCTCCTTTAGCTTGTGTTCCAGAGCAGACCTACAGCCAAAGAGAGAAAACATAGATGTAGAGTCAAGAGCTGTGGTACAGTACATGTAACGCTTTACCCATATTAATTCACTTATTCCCAAAGAGCAGAACAACAATAACTGAGTACAAAATAGTCAAGGTCATATCTATCTTTCGATCCATCTATCTATATATCCATCTATCTATCTACATGTATCTCTCTATATATCCATCTATCTATCTTTCTATCCATCTATCTATCTATCTTTCTTTCTATCCATATCTATCCATATCTATCTACCCTTCTATCCATCTTTCATTCTATCCATCCATCACTAACCCTCCATCTCCTCCTCCTCCTTCTCCCTGTAGCTCTCTCATCAGCATCTGGACCTTCCTCTCATAATCCTTCTGTTGTTCCACCAATCTGTGTTCACTCTCCATCCCGGCACTCCTGAGGGAGCCCTCCAATGTTCGGATCACCCTCTCCTGCTCATCCAGCTTCACCTGTAAACAAAAGACACACCGGTAAAACAAGCATGATAGAGATTGATGAAATTAAACATGGGGAGTGTTTCACAAAGACTAAGATCAACTTTAAGTTGGATTTAACTAAGGCAGGCTGTTAATGCCATTGTTTGCTCTCACCATTTACTGGCAATAGTCTCTCAAGGGGTCACACATCTACAGAATTCAACTTTTTCACAGTTCAATATTGAAGGAAAGAATATTATCTAAAGATCATAATTGAGAGACCAATCGTGAGAGCCCTCTATATGCAAGTCCAACTAAAAGTTGATCTTAGTCTTTGTGAAACACCCCCACTTCATAGAGGCCATCAAATCAGCATGGCCACTATAGACAGGTGACCTTAATAGAGAGGTGGATACTAAGACAGACAGTGCTCCTGTCTCCTTAGATCACTCTCTTACTCAACTCAAAATAAAAGACTTAACAAATAATAAACAGGGAGTTCTACAAGCTTTGTATCCCCCCCCCCCCCCCCCCTCTCTCTCTTACTCATCTTGTTTCATCTGTAAACAAATGACACATCTGTGTAATAATCATGATAGAGATTAATATAGTTAAACCTGGCAATAAAGGCCACATTGGGGCAGAAACTGGGGGAGGGGGGGGGGGGGGGGGGGGTAATTCACAGGGTTGAGGGAAAATTATGCAAGTGAGAAAAGGTTTGGCAATATTTTTACCATCATCATCAATATCATTAACATTATTGAGGTTCAAAGGTCATATTCCTACCTCCAATTCGCTGATCTCTAGCTCCTTTCTCCTGTCTCCCTCTCTAAGGTCAATGACCTTTTCAAAGTACTTGGCAAGAAGGCTCTTGGTCTCCAACGGGGCAAGACTGTTCAGACGACTCATTAACATTGCTTCACTCTACAAAACAAAACAAAACCAGTTAAATAAAGTAAGATCAAAACATGTGATAATAATACAATCCGTGACTTCATAAATGATGTAAATGTTTCATTCAAAACCAATAGTTGGAATTTATCATGAATAGGTGGTAGCACTTCTACAATGCCCAAGCATTTTATCGTGGTTAGCAGGAAAACATTCATTAACGCTCAATCAAAAGTTTTAATAATACACAAAAGGAAAATAACGAGATTAGACAGACATGGATAATAGAAAATGAGAACACAACATTATATATTTTGTTTATTCTCTCTATCTCTCGGTTTTCAAGCAAGACTGTTAAGAAAAATCATTATTAACATAGCTTCACTCTACGAAAGAGGAAACATGGATAACAGAAAATAGAAAAAACAACATTGCATTATTTGTCTTTTGTCTCTATCTCTCGCTTTTCAAGCAAGACTGTTCATACGGCTCACTAACATTGCTCTATATTATGACATGAGACATAGAAAAGTAAGATTTGAGTGATACATGAACCATAAGACTGTGAGAGTGAAAACAGGTGCTGAATCTTTACAGATTGCATGCTTTCAAACAACTGAAAAAGAAAAGGAAAAATTCCTTGTGTACAAGCTAAGATCACCAATAAATGTGAATTTGACTGCATAGGAGTGATATATCACACTAGTAGGGCCTATTTCTGAGGAGAACAAATATTGAACTCTTCAAATGAGATTGTAAAATTGCAAAGCAGGATCAGAAATATGTACAAGTCAACTATTTGATGATAATTAACATGTTTGAGATCATTTCATCTCCTGGACCTAGTCTAATAGACAGTTCTGATTCAATCGCAACTTATTCGCAATTGATATCAATAACAACTATGTACTGTATATAAGAGATTGGAGACTGCTTACTTGCCATTGAACAACTTTCAACAATGGACTAGTGTAAATAATATGAAATTAAATGCAGCCAAATGTCGTGCCATGGTTATTACTTTTATGAAACGACCACTAGTGTTTGAAAATTTATTTATTGGGAATGTTGAATTAGATATAGTGAAATTTGCTAAAATTCTTGGGGTCATTGTACAAAGCAATCTCAAATGGGACTTACATATCAAAGATACAATGTTAAGGTGTAATAGGAAATTGTATATGCTCCGTAGATTGAAATCATTTAATTTTCCTCGCAATGACCTTTTAACTATATACATGGGATACATAAGACCAGTACTTGATTATTGTGTCCCTGTTTTTAATGGAAATATTACTCAAGAGCAAATATTAAATTTAGAACGAATTCAAAAGAGAGTCCTTAGAATAATATTGGGAGGTGACTATATAACATATGTCAATGCTCTTTCATTGTGTAACTTGATCACACTTGAAGCAAGAAGAAAACAACTTTGTGAACATTTTGTAATATCTTTAGAAAAACACCCTGTTTTTAATAATTGGTTACCGGTTAAAAGAGAAAATAGATACAATTTGAGAAACTCAAACAAATATGACACTTTTAAATGTAAAACGCAAAGATTTCAAAATAGTGCTCTTCCTTACCTTGTTCGCATTTTAAACAATATATAGTTTATTTCGTTATGATTATTTTCTTCTCCTATGTACAATTGTGTATTTGCTGGTTGTATATGCATGGGCATTCTCTGGGTGATGGGCGCCCTTTCCTTGTTGGTGGGATCTAATCTTAATTTATTGGGGGGAGGGGGTTGTTTTGATTAATTAATTTTTTTTTGAAGGGGAAGGGGCCCACCTCCTGGACATGTGTGCCCATCACCACGAGAATGCCCACTGCCACTCATCACTTTTTAAACTTTTTAAACTTTTAACATTTACTATTGGTTTGTAACGTGCACTTTGCAATTTTGTTTGTATGTATCTATTTTCAATTATTTATTTTGTATATCTTTAAATGTAACAAATGTAACAAATGTGCAATTCAGTCTTTGACTGCGAATCATTTGATTAATAAACTCTTTTTGAACTTGAACTTGAACTTGATTGGAGGACTTGCGATCAATTTGTATCAATTGCAACTCTTTATTAAATAAAGTGACTAGGTAACATTACCTCAGGTTCTGAAACAAAATCCTGGAATTAGCTCATCCTGCAATTATAATTATAAACCTTTAGGTCAGTCAGGAATCCCATAACTTTTACAAGCCGATTTACAAGCTGATTGTAAATCAAAATGTTACAATTTGTTTTCCTAACGGTTTTTATAACACTACTGTCTCTTGGGGAAAATGAGTATGGTAAAACTGGTCACTTAAAGATTTTTTAGGCACTTAATGATCATTTTGAAACACAATTTGTTTAGGGCCTCAATATTACACCATATCACAGACACTGACAAAATTGTTAAACGATGCCTTTAAGACAGGTCCCTGATCTTTCTTAATAGTGCTAACTTCATGGGAATCATGAATTTAGGTTGAAGGCCTGCCTACCTGTGTGAGATCGTTCCTTCGTAAATCTTTTTTCTTGGTTGATATGACATCGTTCTTATACTCAATGGCTGCTTCCAGTGCTTCTACTCCTTCATCTAACTCTATCAACCTGAAGGAGAAACATTTATAGGTTAAATCTTTATATGCCACACATATAATTTACCAATGCTAAATTGTATTTATCATGGTATAGATATATCAAAGATTTCAAGATAATTGAACTGTTTCCAGTGCAAGATGACTTTATACTTGTGTTAAAGCCCCTCTGCACTAGTTTGGCCAGGAGGGATTAGACCTCCCACCATGGTCACTGACGGGTTGTTATCTCATCAACATCAAATCAGCTCACGATTAACATAAAAAAAAGGGAATCATGGGGGATCAAAGGTGACCGATGAGGCATTGTTTGCTATTTAGAGGGCGCAAGTAGCTATAAGTAGTACAGTGGGGCTTTAAAAGGCTTGTCATGGAGCTAATCAAGTTTGAACATTGTTGACTTTGCTGCGATGTTCAAAAACTTGTTTGCAAAAGAAATTAAAAATTCCTAAATTCTTCTGTTGAGCCAGAAGGCATGTTAACTGTGTATTAAAGTATAAATTAATGCCCTTCTGATAAAGGCGTGATGGCTCAGTGGTAGAGTACTGGTTTTGTAACCGGGAAGTCCTGGGTTCAAAACCAAGTCAATGCGCTAGTGCCCTTTGGTAAGGCATTAGTCCTGATTTCCAAGGCCCTCAGAGAGGCTGTCGGTCCCTCGGTTGCTTGCTTACAAGCATTCACATATTATCATGTTTTCACAGCAGTCAGGTAAAGTAAACAAACATACACCCAAACAAGCATAAAATTGAAATACTGAGTAGTGTGATGTGTCTAACCTTCTCTCCTCAGTGGCTGAGAGCAGTGTTCCCTGCTGAAGCTTCTCATCAAGATGGATCCTCTGGTGAAGAAGGCGCTCTCTGAAAGAAAACCAGACATCATTGTCAGACTAGTTTTAGTGAATTATGAATTGACCTCGTGTGTATCTTAAGCTAGTCATATTGAGAAATACAGCGTTTTTATCATAAACATTGCTTTCAATTCTTTGACGATACACATAAAGTTTTTCATCAGAGCAAATGAGCACTCTTCATAGTTTTACCATCCACATCATTGATAAAACCAATACTACTACACCATTGTCATCATCTTCATTATCCACATCCCCATCATCACCACATCATCAATATCACAATTATCACCTTCTTCTACTTCTCCTTCATTTCTCCTCCTTCTTCTTCTTCTTCTTCTTCTTCTTCTTCTTCTTCTTCTTCTTCTTCTTCCTCCTCCTCCTGCTCCTCCTCCCCCTTCTTCTTCTTCTTCCTCCTCCTCCCCATCATCCCTCTTCTTGTTCCTCTTCCTCAACACCATCTTCATAACCAAAAGCACATATCAACATCATCTCCATCATCATCACCAGCATCATCACCACCAGAGCAACAAGAAGAATTCTTGGTTGACTCACCTTTCCTCCCTGAGTGCCTGTACCTCTCTGCCTATGACTGGTTTCTGGGCGTCCAGACTCACTCTCAGGGTGTTATTTTTCTCCTCAATCTCTCTCTCCACTGATTCCAGCTTTGACGCAAGACCCGTCATATCCTGGAAAGATAGATGAGAAAACATGATTAAGGGATACTACTTTTTCTTATTCTACAGACCAGTTGGTGTGTGAATTAAACCAGGGTAACTGGGGAAGAAATGTAATTAAACCTCCAATTTCTCTCCAACAAACGGTGTTCCATTTATCAATCCAGATCTATCTATATTGTTTATATTATTATAATTTACATTGAAGAGACTTTACCCCTCCATTATAATCAACTCGATCTAAGTTACCTTATCTATAGTTCTCTGTTCTCAAGTATTTAGTTGTATTCCCCCCCCCCTTTTTTTTTCTCTCTTTCTCTCCTTTTTACTGTCTGTATTTTGTTGTGTTGTCCCTCTTTCTTTCTCTTTTTGTTTCTTTCTTCCTTTTTCCATCTCTTTCTCTCCTTTTCTCTTTTTCTTTCTTCCTCTGTTTTTCCTACTTTCTCTTGTTTTTCCATCTTTCTTTCCCTCCCCTCCCCCTCTCTCTTCCTCTTCCCTTGTTCTCCCTCCCTCCCAACCTCTTTCTCTCTCTCTCTCTCTCTCTCTCTGTCCTCTTGCTCTAGACTAACCCTTGATATTGACTGGCTTGATCTAAGTTTCCTCATCTCTAGTTCTCCCATCTCCCTCCCTCCCTCCCCCATCTCTCTCTTTCTCTCTCTCTCTCTTTCTGTCTATCTGTCTTTCTCTCTCCCTCTCCTATTTCTCTCTTCCTCCCTCTCTCTCTCTCTTCCTCTCCCTCCCTCCCCAACCTCTCTCTCTCTCTCTCTCCCTCTCTCTCTTGGTTCCCTTAACTAGACTAACCCTTGATATTGACTGGCTGGATCTTAGCTTCCTCATCTCTAGCTCTCCCATCTCCCGTAACATTGACTCTTTCTTGGCAAGATTGACTTCACGTTTCTTCAGCTCCTGTCAAAACAAACACAAAATTTATACATTTTACAAACATACAGTGAAACCTGTCTATAAAGACCACTGAAGGGAAACATGAAAAGTGGTCTTCATAGGCAGGCTGTCTTTTCGTACAGGTTCCTTCAGTGCAGGTTTAATTAAAAAACAATATTCAAGGGAACCAAAAATGTGGTCTTTATAGACAGGGGGTCTTTTATTACAGGTGGCCACAAAAGCAGGTATTACTGTCTTTAATATAAATATGATATATTTCAGATGCTTGTTAGCAAGCTATATTCCCCCCCCCCCCCCAAACAATGAAAAACAAAAAAATACATAAATAAATGAGAATACAGGTTGAAATGCTGTCAATACTTTGATTATTTCTAATCCAATACCCAAAATAATTCATGCTATGGCAATCATGGGCTCCTATTTATAACCAGATATATCACACCTTCCCATCCCAGATGACAGCTCAAGCAAAATATTTTAAGAAAGCATGTGTATGCTTGTAAGTGAGCAACCAGGAGACCGACGGCTATGAGTTCTCTCTGAGGGACTTTGTAATGAGGATTAATGCCTATACCAAAGGGCACTAGCGCATCGAATTGGTGTCTTAACTTCCTTTTGGCAGGGGCATTATCAAATATGTAGACATCAACGTACCTCTTCTAGGTCTTTCATCTTCTTCTTCCTCTGTAGGATCTTCTCAACCTCTGTATCCAGCCACTTTCGCTGCTCCTCCACCTTGTCATGGTCCGGTGCATGAGCGCTGCCAACACGTAACTTCCTCTGGGCAGCAGCGACCTACATGGAAACATACAATAGACACACTTGGTAAAGCCTATTTTAAATCCCCACTGCACTACTTATAGCTACATGCGCCCTCTATATAGCAAACAGGAACTTTTAGATTTGCAAGACAAGAACGTGGACTGCTCGTGTGACATCCTTTTAAGGCAATGTGACATCACTGCAAGTCCCTTAAAAGGATGTCACATTTTGTTAAAAGGATGTCACACGTCGCAGTCCTTGTTCTCGTCGTGCAAATCTAAAAGTCCCTAATGCCTAATCTATAACTGTTGGTCCCCCATGGTCCCCTTTTTTGTAGGTTGAATGAGAGCTGATTTGATGAGATAACCACCTGTCAGTGACCATGCAGGGAGGTCTAATCCCTCCTGGCCAAACTAGTGCAGATAGGCTTTAAACATGACATGGTTAGTGACCTTTGAATACTGCTGCAACAAAATAAGATGATTCTACATGTACTGGTTTTACAATAACCATAAAATTCAATTCAATTTCTGACAATAAGTCAAATATGTTGTCAAATTGAATGGAAGAAAATACATGTTAATTTGAATTGAATTGAATTGTATTCTTACCTCTTCTGTTTTCCTTTTGAGTATCTTCTGTTGCTGATCGTTCTTAATCTCCAGCTCCTTAATCCTCTGCTGATCCCTCTGTAGATCTCTCTGTTGAATCAAACACATACAAAATCTCAAATACATATGTGCACCATTCTCTTCTTTTATCCCCTTTTTTTCTTAATAAAAATATATATAAATATTCAAAGAAACCCCATCACTTTAGCCTATTTTTCTTATTTTTCTTTCCCTGCTTGTGTTCAGGTAGCAGGGATGTGCGTTCCAATTAAATGAAATTAACTGACTTACCTATTGTTTCATACAGATATTGGCCCTGTTTCATCAATAACAAGTTACAGTAACTGTTATAAGCTACTGAAATTGGGGCATTCGATCAGCTGAGAACAAATTTGACATAGAATTTTAGCATTCGTCATAGATAACATGTTTTGTGAAACAGGGCCCTGGACTATTCCATTTCTGTATTAGGGATTTTACCTAAAGTTTCAATTTACGTTCACCCTCTTTGCTTAGCCCTGCCAGCAGTAATTCCTGGTTTTGTTCACGCTTACAACTATCTCCACATTTTGTATGCCATTTAAACTTGGTCTGATACACCATACTCCAGAAGTTAGGATGTATACCCCTAGTGAGTAAAATGGGATAACCTACAAGCCCCAATATATAGAAATGTCTGGATTATTCCATTTGTATAATAGGGTTCCATACCTGAAGTTTCAATTTGCGATCACCCTCTTCTCAAAGCCGTGCCTGCAGTAATTCCTGATGCTGTTTCATCGTGCTTACAATTATCTCCACATTTTAAATGCCCTTTATACTTAGTGTGATTACAAGCTGGGATGTACTGTATACCCCTATTGAGTAAAAGGGAATAGTCTACAAGACCAATAATTACATAGACAGCAGGACTTTTCCATTTGTATAATAGGGTTCCATACCTCGAGTTTCAGTTTGCGATCACCCTCTTCTCGAAGCCGTGCCTGTTGTAGCTCCTGATGTTGTTTTATCTTGCTTACAACTAACTCCACAATAATTTAAATGCCCTTTATTACAAGCTGGGATGTATACCCCTATTGAGTAAAATGGAATAGTCTACAAAACCAATAACTACATATACAGCAGGACTTTTTCATTTGTATAATAGGGGTCAATACCTCAAGTTTTAGTTTGCGATCCCCCTCTTCTCTAAGCCGTGCCTGTTGTAACTCCTGGTGTTGTTTCATCCGACCTACAGCAATCTCAAGGTCTTCAATCTTCTTCTCTCTCTGGGTCTGCATCTTCAGTACTCTCTCAGACTCCTGCAGATAAAAGAAAGATTTATAAAGGAATAGCTCATTTCAAATCAAATTATAATTTTGAAGCCCGTCTGCACTAGTTTGGCCAGGAGGATGACCACCCAGCTTTATCTCATCAAATCAGCTATAAATTAACATAAGAAAAAGGGGATCATGTGTGCCATAAAGAGAGCGCAAGTACCTACAAGTAGTTCAGTGGGGCTTTAAAAAGAGTCTCTTAAGCAGTACTTTTTACATACATGTAGATTTGTTTTCAATCATTCTTTGTCACTCTGTATCCTACTTTCTCCATCACACTCTATTCTCATTTCACGATCCTCTTTCTCTTGACTTTCCCTCTCTTTGTTTCCTTATGTCTGTCTTTGAATTTATCTATATATCTATCGTTAGTAATGAGGAACTTCTTAGAAGAGCTGGAGTGCAAAGGAAAGTGATACATGAGATGTTGATTAGGCAGTTGAAGTTCAAGGGTCACATTACATGTAAAGAAGGCCTAGAGAAACTTACTTTGACAGGGAAAATTGCAGGAAGAAGGAGTAGGGGAAAAAGAAGGATACTTTGGATGGACAGTCTGCAGAAATTTTTCGGAAGAGAGAGAGGAGTGGAAGAACTGGGAGTGGTACTTATACAGAATGCTAGGAGCCGAGGGTTGTAGAACAAAATGATCGCTAAAGTCAATCGATATGGCACCTAGAGAGAGAGAGAGAGAGATATCTATATATCCATCTATCTATCTATTGCCCTTCCTATCTATGTATCTATATACTTATCTATCTATCTATGTACCTATCTTTTCTACTCACCTGTTGTTTCTTCATAAGTTCTTTGACCTTTGAATGAGCTTTCTCCATCTTCTTCTGATATTCGTCTTCTAGCTTGTTCTTCTCCTTTGATTCCATCTCACCCTTTGACCCAAGGCCATGGAGGTGCCTCTTGGCTTCCATCAATTCTTGCCTCGCTTTCTGGGCATCCTAGGTAAACAAATGAACAAAAAAGAACAATAAAATAATTTGTTTAAAAACATTTTTTTTTTTTTTCATATTTTTTTCCCTCCACAGGGATTTTATTGATTTTCATTTGAAACACATACAAAAATATATATTCAAGGTAATTTACATAATAACATAAATAAAATAAAATTGGCTTTTCAAGATACAAGTATTGTTGAGCTGTTGAGTTAACAGAAAACTAACAAATCAATAATTCATTTCTAACACTCATGGAAAGAAAAACAAATACAGAAAAAATATCATTTTAAGTAAACAAATTCCTGAATTGAAACCATTTTCTTGTGAATTTATTATTTCTACAATTTGAATTTGCAATATACTTTTCGTTTTTGAAGTAATTTATAATCGAAACTCTAATACTATCAAAGTCGGGCAATTGTTTCTTTATTTTGCAAGTATACACCATCTGTTGCACCACAATCAGTATACAATTCAATGCATAATTATTTGAACCTTTTAAACCAAATAATTTATCTTGTAATGAAAATGTTAATTTATTTCCGGTTCCAGTATTAATCCAGTGTTCTAACCTACCCCAAATATTTTTAACATGCGTACAATCACATAGCAGATGTATAACTGTTTCAATCTGTTCATTACAAAATGTACATTCTTTTCTTGGGACTAAATTCATTTTAAAAAGTAGATCGTTCGTATATAATATGCGTTGCAAGACTTTAAACTGAAACCATCGTAAGCCCACATCAATGGTACAATTAAATCCAATAGAACAATATGTTTCCCAACTCTTATCATTCAGGTCGAAAATGCATTTCCATTTAAGAAAACTTTTACATAGTCCTTTTCTTCTCTTTAATAATATTGCATAGATATGTGAACATCCTTTAATACGTTTCATAACAAATGCCATTGTATCTGGGAAAAGAGGTTGTGGCACCTTGTTAAAAATAGTACAATTGTTAAACCCTTGTCTAATTGCATCGCATAATCCACGATAAAAAAGAAAATTTATTTGAATATTATACTTTTCTTGAAATTGTACCAGAGAGAAAAAATCACCATTTGTGTCTAAAATATCGTTAACAAAACAAACTCCCTTTTGACACAATTTTTTATTATATATTGAGCTATTGCCTATTTTAATGTAATCATTATTCCATAAGGGTTGGCAAGAAATGTTATCATGATGTATGGACAAGAGCGTACTATAAGCCATGAACATTTCTTTCTAAAAAAGGTTCTTTGTTTTACCTGCCAGTTCCCGAAAATAATTGTTTCCCATATATAATTTTAAATCTTGCCGTTCAGGTAAGAAAGATTGCAAAAGACAGAGGATATTGCTATCTATTGAGCCAATTACTAATCTCTTAATCCAGGAAATTTTTAATGATTGGCTATGTGTGTATATATCTATCATTTTAACCCCTCCGTCTGAGTAACTTTGTGACATTTGATTTCTACTTATTTTATCAGGTTTCTCCCCCCATATAAATCTATAAAAGTGAGCATTTATATCTTTCAAAAGATTTTCACCAGGATTAGGGAGGGACAAAAAAAGGTAGTTTAATTTGGATGCAAACAATGACTTGACGACAGTGATTCTTCCAAGAACAGTTAAGTATCGTCTCAACCACGATGTCATTTGACTTTTTATTTCTTTAAATTTTTCATTATAATTGTGAATTATCAATTTGGGCAAATCCGAACAAAAGTCTATACCTACATATCTGAAATAATCATCAAACACCCAATTTAGATTTCTATTCAAAAGAACACCATTTTTTTGTTTTTAAATCCTCCAATCCAAATGGCATGTGTCTTCTGTATATTAACTTTTAAACCAGAGATTGCATTGTATTGATCTAAAATGTTTAATGCACAGTTTAATTCCATTACTGACCCATTCAATGTTAGAAGAGTATCGTCTGCATATTGAATTATTTTAAGTTGTCTACCAGGCAAGCTCAAACCAACAATGGAATCGGAATTTCTAAACAAGAGACCTAGTATTTCGGCGCATAATAGAAAGATAAGAGCTGACATGGGATCTCCTTGACGACAACCTCGCTCTATTGAAAATCTTGGAGACAGGTGTCCATTGATTAATACACAGGATTGAGCATTTTCATAGAATACATTAACCCATTTTACAATAGAGGGACCAAACTTAAAAAAGTGCAATACTTTTCTAATAAAATCATGAGAAATAGAATCAAATGCTTTTTCAAAATCTATAAGCAGCAATAAACCAGGAATGTCATTGATATCAGTATACAATAATAAATCATATAACAAACGGATATTCTCTCCAATAAAGCGCCCTGACATAAAGCCTTTCTGGTTTTCATGTATAAGAAAAGGAAGTACGTTCTTTAATCTGTTTGCTATACAAGAGGAACCTAATTTATACACCACGTGTAAAAAACATGATAATAATAGGCATTTCTATAGCGCCGTCTTTCTGGAAATTCTATTCTGAAACGCGCTAATTATTACCCCGGCTTTAGCTTAGCTGCCATTACAGCGCTCCAGCATTTCAAGGAATTAATTCCTGGCAGGTACCCATTGACCTCACCTGGGTCGATTGTGGCAAATGAAGATTAATGCCTTGCCAAAGGACATTTGTGCCATATCGGGGATTGAACCACGACCTTTGAATTTCAAGTCAAGTTCTTAAACCACTCGTCTGCAACACTTCTACCATGATAGCATGCAAATGATGCATGCGGATGACTTCATTGTACGATTTGTCCATATTCGATTTAAGGCTGTATGCATCTTTTGTCCGAAGCCATCAGGCTTAGAGCAATAAGTGCATAAACAGCCTCAGCAACAGTGAATAGATCCTGTAATGAACAAATGCCAGCATGCATCATTTGTTTTATACAACAAAACTCCCTCATTTACGCATGCTGTCCCTTAAGTGTTGGCTGAGTCAGTAGAGCGTCCGCCTCACAACCGGGAGGTCGTGGGTTTGAACCCCGGCCGCGTCATACCAAAAGACGTTAAAAGATGGGAGTTGTTGCTACCTTGTTTGGCGTTCAACAATAAGGGATAGAGCAACGTCGATCGCAAACTCCTACATAAGCTGACGTACTATGGAATCCAGGGAAACACCCATCACTGGATCAGTGCATTCTTAACTGGCAGGTCTCAACAAGTGTCTGTCAATGGCTCTGCCTCTCCGCCCTCTAGCGTACTATCAGGGGTTCCGCAGGGATCCGTCCTCGGCCCTATGCTGTTTCTGCTATATGTCAATGACATCACAACTAATGTCAATTCCTCCATGAGACTGTTTGCTGACGACAGTGTCATCTACCGTACAATCTGTGGCCCTGATGACCAGGAAAGACTCCAAGAAGACCTTCAGAAGGTGTTTCAGTGGGCTGAAACTTGGAGCATGGCCTTTAACATCTCTAAATGTGCTCACCTCTCCATCACCTTGAAGCGCCGGCCATACCTGTTCAACTACTCAGTGAATGAGCAAGTACTCCCACAGAAGAAGACATACAAGTACCTTGGTGTAACAGTTCGAGATGATCTACGCTGGAACACCCACGTCGAAGCACTCCGCTCTAAGGCATCCAAAACCATGGGCATCTTGAGGAGAAATCTCGGCTCCTGCAGCAAGAAAGTGAGGGAAACCGCCTACAAGACCTTAGTTCGGCCTCAACTTGAATACTCCTCATGTGCATGGAATCCACATAAACGGCGTAATACCAACTTGCTGGAAGGAATCCAGAGGCAAGCTGCACGTTTTGTCACCCAAGACTTTAGAAGGACATCGAGCGTCTCAGACATGATTTCTCTACTGGCCTGGAATACTCTTGAACAACGAAGAATCTTTGCCCAGTGTGGAATGTTCTTCAAAATCCACAAGAACATGGTGAACATCCCACTTACACCTGGTATTCACCCAGTCTTGCACCAGAGAGAGCTACGTGGACACACCACACACCCATTTATTTTTCACCAGCTTCCCTGCAGAGTGGACTGCTATAAGTACAGTTTTTTCCCCCGAGTTATTCCCATATGGAACAGACTCCCAGCAGTAGCTGTAACATCTAGCTCGATTGCTGGTTTTCAGACCTCTGCAGTCCCGTCCATCATAGCCATGATGGGCATGCCCACCTGGGCCGTGTAGGGAGGGAAGCCATGAAGCCGACATTAATGTTCTCACCAGATGCACCCTACTTCTTCGTACTCTCCAGTTTACATGTCTTCTTCTGCACAATGTCTGGCTTCTTTTACTTGCACGCATCACGCACTCACACACTACCACTATTACTCCACCCTGGACAGCTGTCAACGTAGCTTTTTGGGTGCAACAAATTCAAGATTCAAGATCTGGCGCTGCTCAGTGGCTGCAGGGCTCACGATCAATTGGGCAAAAAGAATTTCCGTTTCGGTTTAATAAAATTTGGAGTGGACTATTGGGCTATTATTATTATTATTATATTATTATTATTACGTTAATACTGTATTTGAGTTTTAACTATTTTCTACATTGCTAAATTTGGTACATAATATTTTTAACAGTTATCAATAGTTTAACTTGCTTTCGTTCAACTAACTTCATTTTAAATACATCATACAATATCAAAATCGAATTTGCTGCACATGGAATGGAAAAGGTTAAGAAAATAATTACCTACCTTTTCTAACAGTTTGATTTTGTTTGAGTATTTCTTGTTAGCTGCCTCAGATTCCTTGCTGGTCTTTGCCAACTCACGGATCAGCTCTTCTTTCAGTCTATGGAGAGAGAGAGAGATAGAGATAGAGATATAGAAATAGAAGAAATACAGAATGCATCAAACAAAGGGTCAAAGGTCAAAGCCCAAAACTTCACTCCAACAATTCACTTTTTTTAAATGATAATATTCAGGCTACTTTTCTCCTTGTCATCTCTCTTGCTCTCTTTAGTTCTGCATGTCGGTCACTCTCACTGTCTTCCTCCATATTTAACTCTTTCTATCTTTTTATCTTTCACCTGGTCTCTTTCCTTCCAATGATGTGTGTTTACCCCCCCCCCCCTCAAAAATAAAGACTTTCTCCTTCTCTATTTACTCCTGCAAGTTCGATTGAAGATTTTTTACAAAAACTTACGGGGATATTAGAGAAAATTAGTCGTGAACATAAATCTTGCTTTTTGCTTGGTGATTTTAATATTGACCTTGCATCGGTTACCAACCGTAGCATTACAGATCGATTTTTAGATACCCTTTACACTTTCTCTGTGTTACCATTGATACAAGCACCAACTCGCATATCTCGCCATAAAGCATCACTCTTAGACAATATTCTTACCAATGCTGATGCCGGCTGTGAATCAGGTATATTATTAAGTGATTTAAGTGACCACCTACCTGTCTTTACTTTTACCAATGTTCTTTTGAAATTGAGTGAAAACATAGATTTACCTGTAAACAAGCGTGTCTTTAATGATGCGAATTTTTTGAAGTTCAGTCAAAGTTTAAGTGAACTAGATTGGCATGATTGTATACAAATTGAAGATTCTAATGTTAACTACAACAGCTTCATTTCAGTGTTCATGGCTTTATACAATGAATGTTTTCCTTTTACCACCATACGCAAAAAAAAAAACTTTAAAAAACCATGGTATACTACTTACCTAAAAAAACTTTCCAATAAAAGACTCAGGCTTTATAGAAAATACTTAAAGAAACCTACTAATGAAAATAAAAACCAATACAATTCATATAGAAATATTGTTACTAGGGAAATCCGCAAAGCAAAGACAAATTACTATAATCAGAGATTTAAAAATTTGAATGGTAACATGTCAGGGACATGGAAAGTGATAAATAACCTATTGAGAAAGAAAAACAAAACAAAAATTCCTGAATTCAAAAAGGATGGTGAGACCATTGATGATGAAGCTGTTGCAGAAGGTTTCAATGATTACTTTGTTCATGTAGCACCAAGAATGCTCAGTGAAGTAAACAATGTAGCCCAGCCTACTTGTTCCCCGACTGCTCATATTGTAAACAACTCGCATACTTTTTTCTGTAAACCTATACATGAAAGTGAAATTATAAATATTGTAGACAAAATGAAAGGTGGTACAAGTCCAGGATATGATGATGTTCACATATCTGTAGTTAAGAAAATTATTCACTTGATTAGTAAACCCTTATGTGCAATATTTAATGTTTCTATTAACAATGGAATATTCCCTGACAAGTTAAAAGTTGCGAAGGTTATTCCAATATTTAAGAAGGGTTAATCTAATCTGTATTCAAATTATCGGCCAATTTCTCTCCTTCCTATATTGTCAAAGATTCTTGAGAAATGCATGTACAATCGACTTATCACTTTCATTGAAAGATTTCAGTTGCTTTTCAGTAATCAATTTGGCTTCAGGTCTAAACACTCAACCTCTTCTGCTCTCATTGAATTTATTCATACTATCACAAGAGCTATGGATGCTAAAGATATATCTATCGGTGTGTTTTTAGACCTTTCAAAGGCTTTTGATTGTTTAAATCATAAAATATTATTAGCAAAACTATTTTGTTTAGGCATCAGAGGTATCCCTTTGAAATGGTTTCAGAGCTATTTAGAGGACCGAAAACAATTCACTGTTTACAATAAAAACCAATCTGATATGCAAAAAATCTCATGCGGAATTCCGCAAGGGTCAATTCTAGGCCCTCTACTTTTTCTAATATATATAAATGATATTCATAAATGTTCTTCCAAAAACTTAGTTATGTCCTCTTTGCAGATGACACTACAATTTCTTTATCAAACAAAGATGAAGCAACCCTTATTCAAACTTTAGACCATGAACTAGAACATGTCGCCCATTGGCTCAAACTTAACAAGCTACTACTTAATACAAACAAAACTCACATGATGATTTTCACCAAAAGAAATATTGATATTTCCAACTATAAGGTATATCTAAATGGCTCTGAAATCACAATAGTATCTAACACAAAATTTCTAGGAATTCAAATTGATAACAAATTGTGTTGGCATGACCATGTAAATTACATATGTACAACAAAATACGAAATACGAAATATTGGTGTAATGAACAAACTAAACTATCTGCCTAGAAATATTTTGTTATCTCTTTACTACACACTCATTTACCCTTTTCTTATATATTGCAATATTGTCTGGGCCTCAGCTTCTCAAGTAAAAATGTTGAGAGTACAGTATATAGATTGCAAAAAAGAGCAGTGAGGATAATTTGTAAAATGCCTTTCCTTGCCTCCACTAAACCTTTATTTACTCAATTAAAAATCTTGAATGTATTCGATTTGTATAAATTAAGACTGGCCATTTTTATGTTCTCTTGTCAGAGACAGATCTTGCCATTATCCCTGACTCGCTATGTTTCCATTAACTCTTCAATCCACTCCCACTGTACTCGTTCAAATGCAGACTTTCACATCCCATATGCAAGAACTTCAGTTTCTCAAAAGACAATTTACTATGCAGGTCCCAAACTATGGAATGCATTGCCACCTTATCTAAAATCTGCATGCTCTCTGAATGTTTTCAAGAGACAATACAACGAAAGGCTTTTACAATCTTATCCACATTGAGTCACCTGTTGTTTGTTGTTTATGTCAATGTTAATTGTTATATCCCTGGTTTGTATGGGTTTTTTCTTTTTATAATTGTTATTTCTATTTTCTATTTTGTATGTACTATTATTCTGCTTGGGTCTAATTTCATCCTATGTATTAACTTTACTTCTCATCTTGCCTTTCTCTCCTTCAATTTTCCTTCCTCTTCCCCTCTCTCTCTCTCTCTCTCTCTCTCTCTATCTCCCTCTCTTGTTTCTCTCTGACCCAGCTGTAGCTGTATATGTATACTCTCCCTCCTGTTGTTGTACATGCAACAGTATACAATGCAATTTATTTTATTCTAAGGGGTCGAATTCACAAGATCTTTGAGTAGATCTTTAATCTGATCCCCACTCAATTTATGTTATTTGTGTTGTCATCTACTGATTTTGCTATGTCCATTTTTTTTATATTTGTTATACATGTATGCGTTTATTCGCAATTCTATGTGTCTGTTTTTTTATATTGAGTGAATAAATTATTATTTGAATTTGAATATTTTTTATTTGAATCTCTTTATGTACATCTATTTCTAAAACAGTGAACAGGTTCCTCTAGTACATGTTTAAATGAGAAACCGTTTTCAAGGGAAACCAAAAAGGGGTATTTGTAGACAGGTGGTCACTAAATCAGGTTTGACTGTATATCCCTTTTTTCAGTTTCTCATATCAAGGGTTCAGTGACACAAAGACGTAACATCATATTTTATCAAAACAAGTATTTGATATCAAAATGTTCAGAGAAATGTGGGCTTTCCAAGCAACAAGGACTTAACTCCACCCAACACCCCATTGAAGTCAATTGCTAGTGAAACATAGACTTAACTCCTAAGGCCTAAGTGCTCAGTGACACAAACTACTTTTTCTCATGTTTCTATACTTTCTCTGTCTACTCACTTGATGTTGAGGTTAAGATCCCGTAGCTTGTGATGCGACTCCTGCATGTTACGTTGGGAGGCCCTCACACGCTCATGACCCGCCTCGACACTTGACCTCAGGTCAACAGCTTCAGAGGGCGTGTCCTGACCTGCCCTTGACTTGGTGAGGGTCCCATTAGCAACTGAGAGATAGGGATAAGAACAACAACAACAAATTGTAAATACATCTGTATCAGATCACAGATTTCATATATGGGATATTTATAATTATTTGTGTTAAAGGGATCGTTTAACAAAGTTAAATCTGAGATACACGGCCCTACGTGTTATCAGTGTCTGTGGTATGGTGTAATATCGAAGCCCTAAAAAAATTGCGCTTCAAAATGATCAAGAAGTGCCTCAAAAAAGTAAAAATCTTTGAGTGACCGGTTTTACCATACTCGTTTTCCCCAATAGACTGTAGTGTTATGAAAACCGTCAGGCGAACGGTTTTCAAAATGTGTAATTCCAATCATAAATATCTTGATAATTAGACAGGCGATCGGCTTGTAAAAGTCATGGGGTTCCTGACTGACCTAAAGTTTTATAATTATCATTGCATCATGAGCTAAATCCAGAATTTTCTTTCAGAATCTGAGACAAAGTTACCAATCCCTTTAACAAGCTTGTGTTCTTCAATGGGATGGGAATTGTCCATTTTCCCCCCCTATAGAATAGTAATAATATATGATTTTGAAAAATATAGTTTACATGTAATGACATCATCTTAGGCATCCCAGGAGGAAATTATATAACACGCAATACATGTCCACCAGGATGAAACAATATCACAAATAGAGACAGCAAACAGAAATACTAAAAAAAGATGAAATATAAGAGAAATAATGGCAGGTTGGTCGGAGCACAATCTAACTACAATTTGTGGGTATCCAATGGAAGGCAAGGTATCGCGATAGCTGTAATCGGTCTCACGAACGTAAGCGAACATGCCTTTGTTGCTGGGCAGAATTGGCGGGCAACAATAGCTCTATGAATATTCATGTACATGTGTAGGCTTGTCTGGTTTTTGCCTGAAACAACCAATTATGGGTCATCTAAACTTGGGATAAGATTTTTCCTACGTCTAAGTAAAGAGGCCTCTGATTAGCTCATATTTTTCTGCAGAGTCTGACAGACTCTTAGGTCACCAGACGTTCTTGTAAACACAGCAAACCACACAATGTGGTCAATTGTTGCGAATGAGTTAAATGACCTATTATGAACCAAACTGAATATCTTTTTTTTTTTTTACATCATGATTATTAAGTTCCAATCTGACCTTTGTTGTTCTTGATTTGGGTTCTCCTTCTCTGTCTGGCTGATGATGATCCTCCTCTCTCTTCTTTACTCCATGTCTGACCTAAAGCTCTGAATGACAAACACAAGGTCACATTTAAATGTCTTCACAACGGTCTATTGCCATTCGGTCTATAATCAGTTTAGTCAAACTTTTAGTGGGTCTAATTCACAGTTAGTCTAATGTCCATTTTGTATACTATCCATATGGTCTAATCATCATTAATTAAATGATTATTAGACCTTATTGATGGTAGATGAAATGGGCATTAGAAACTCTGGGAATTAGACTTACTGGTTATTAGACCAAATAATAATAGACAAAATGATTATTGGACATTTGCACAGTAGACGGGTTGGGTGTAGATCATATGGGAATAGACTAATTGTGTAGTAGACAAACTGGATGTAGACTAAATAACAATTCACCTTCAGAAGTACCACCATGACAACATATATCTGGGACCACATGACTTCAAATGTTGCTTCTCCTGCAGGGGGGCATCATTATCTTCAAGATTGCGAGTGGGTGCATGAATAGGTAGGTATGCATGGGACCACACACACACTACATAAAATCAAACATGAATAGGTAGGTATACATGGGACTACACACACTACCTCAAATCTAACATGAAAATGTATATCTGGGACTACATCAACTTGAATGTCTCTTACTTTGTCTCTGTATCTGAATCCTCAGGTCCACTGCTGTCGGTAAGGCTCTCCTGAAGGACTGTATCATTATCTTGAGTGCATGAATAGGTATACATGGGACTACACACACTACCTCAAATCAAACATGAAAATGTATACATGGGACTACATCATCTTGAAAGTGTCTTACTTTGTCTCTGTATCTGAGTCCTCGGGACCACTGCTATCGGTAAGGCTCTCCTGTAGGACTGCGTCATTATCTTCAAGATGACGGATGAGGAGCTGGCTCCTGGCTCGGAAACCCTGAACAATCCTCTCCAGCGAGAACTGAGTGAAGAAAAAAAAAAACCAGGGCCCTGTCTTACAAAGAGTTGATATCAATCGCAACTATGTACATAAGAGATAGGAGAAGGACTTGCAAAACACTTTGTAATACAGGGCCAAGATGAACAGGTCCAAAAAAATTATACTCTAAAATGTGACATGGGGAGTGTTTCACAAAGACTAAGTTTGAATTTAAGTTTGACTTTACTACAGTAGACTGCTCAGGCCACTGTTTGCTCTCACCATTTACTGGCATTGGTCTCTCAAGGGACGTACACATTTTGGTTGCAAATTTGCAGAATTAACAACATCATCACCACCACCATTACCATCACCATTATCATCATCACTACTACCCTAACAAAATTCCTCTTCCTCCAAATCTTTTGTTTAGAAAACGAGAACGTAAAATCTAAATCATCATACCAAGGGCGGGCTGGTATGCAGTCTCCTCGCCTCTGGTCTTCTGTCCCTGGCTGTGTTACTTCCTGAAGCAGACTTGGTCCTCATTGCATGAGGAGGTACTGACATAGCTCTCCTACCTGCAGACAGGGGCAGCTCAAATGCACCTCCACCACCAGTCTAGGGAAAAAAAAGAAGCATGGTTTCATTTCTGTTCTTGTCACTATGGGAATAATGCACTAAGTATCTGCTGCTTCAATTATCATGCAATGCTAGTATAATAAGACACGTTAAAGCTTATCTGCCGTAGTTTACAGGGGGGATTAGACCGCACTGCAAGGTCACTGGACAGGTGGTTATCTCATCAACTCAGCTCTCAGTTAACATAAGAAAAAGAGGATCATGGGGGACCAATGGTCACCGATTAGGCATCGTTTGTTATATAGAGGGCGCAAGTAGCTACAAGTAGTGCAGTGGGCCTTTAAAGAAAATGTTGTTGGAAGCAAAAAAATTGCAAATGCATGCAATTAAAATTAGGATCAAGTAGTACAGTAACTACAGTAAAAGCTCATTTAGAGTTTTCTGCCCCTATTTGTTTTTCTTCTATTTATTTTCGATATTAAATTTATTTTCTCACTACTTTTTTTTTTTGGTGCAAGAAAAATAAATAAGATTTCACAAATGCAAATACTGTTAGGACTTTTAGGTTTCACTGAGCTTTGTGTCATACGATACAGACATGTGAAGTGATTGACTTTACATCATCATAATGGAAATATGCTGCGTTCAGGAAGTGTGTTATTAATAACATGTTTGAAGAAAGAGAGCATACCCCATGGCCTAGCTGAGACTGCTGCTCTGTGATCTTGGTCTGCTGTTCAACAAGAGCACCCTCTAGACGACGTATGTTATCAAGCGCCCTCTCCAGCTCATTGGAGCAACGGTCTCTTTCCGATTCCTGCCAATTGCATAGATTAAAGAAAAGTTTGATGAGCATTAAGAACACAGAAATCACTGTGTCACATATACAACGTTTGAGTTCTGGTCATGCGTTTGTATTGTGAAAGAAACGTTGTGAAACACCCCCTGGTCTCCTTGAAATGTTTTTATTACGGTTGAAGTATAAGTAGCACATTTTGTAGCCTTTGTAACTGAGAAACAGTGCTATATCAAATAGTCAGTGTAGAGGATTGCATTGTTTCTTTCATTTTGTGCACACAATAATAATAATAATAATGATAATGATAATGATAATGATAACGATAAATAATAATAATAATATTAATAATAATATATATTTTGTTTATGTCTTGTTTACCTCATCAGTATTAATACTCTTCTCACTGAGGGCACTGCAATCATATAATAACCCGGTCTTTATGCTCCCTATGAAATCTATAAGACATTCTGGTCCGGATATTTGGAACTCACTGTCCGTTGACATCCGTAACTTGAAGTCAGTATATACTTTCAAGAAAAGTGTGAAATCAATTTTATTGAGCAAATATTGACAAATCTCTTAAATTAACACATGATATCATTTATGTTTGTCAGCATTTCCTTGATATAGCAGGAAAATCCCCCTCCCATGCACCCTCTATCCCATTTTTTTTTTTTTTGGTTGCAAGTCACTGTTTATTTTTTGTTATTTTCCCCCAATTATGTTCTGTAATTTACTTTACTTTACAATCGTTATGATTTTAAATGTTTCTGGGCTGCAAGCGTATCAAGCTGTCACGCTTAGGCTGTAGCCCTTCTGTATCATCACCTCTTCGAGCGTATGTATCTATGATTTACTGAATGTGGAAATGTAATTTAACTTATGTTTTATACTCATGTAAAGACATTGTCACATTATTGTTATAACCTATGATGATTCAGTAACCAATAAATATTTCAACTAAATATTTCAACTATTTCAACTATATAATCTCAATACATGCACATGTATTTACCTCTTTTTTCATGTTTGTTTGTACTCACCATATCTTGGAGTCTGGCAAGTAGATCTTCATTCTCTCTTCTCTTGTCTGCAAATATCTGCTCATCGCTCGCAAGATCACCCAACGCCTAAAACAAACAAGATAATTTAATATATATTTCATTCTTGTAATTACAGTCAAACCTGCTTTAGTGACCACCTGCCTACAAAGACCACATTTTATGATTCCCTTGAAAATGGTTTCTCATTGAAACATGTAATATACAGTGCGTCCCAGAAAAAACGAAACCGAGAAGTATCGATGTTCTATCATAACTTAATCAAAACTATAATTAATGAATGATACATATTTGGAAAGCTTAGAGTCTCCTCTTTCAGTTGATGCTACTTAGATAATGCATATTTCACGCATGAGTGATGAAAAGCAATTTGAAGGAAGGAAACCAAAAAGACATTTGGCGGGCCGTATCTGAATTTTGAAGAAAAATTCACATTTCTAGAAAGTTGAATTTCTGCCCTTTCATATGACACCTTAATCAGGAAAAATGAGCGAGGAATGACAAAGTTCTGTTTGTTTAAAGTAGTGCTTGCATTTCCATAAACGAATTCGTTTTCACTGGTTGCCTGTCGTATTAATAAACGAAATTAACAAAAGACTTAACTCCGTTTCGTTGACAATCAGCCATGCATGAAGACTCTTGTCTACGGCTGATTGTCAACGAAACGGAGTTAAGTCTTTTGTCAAATCTGCTTTTTGCTACGGCAGGCACCCAGTGAAAACGAATTCGTTTGTTGAAATTATGAAAATGTAAGGGCTACTTTAAACAAACAGAACTTTGTTATTCCTGGCTCATTTTTCTTGATTGAGGTATCATATGAAAGAGCAGAAAATGAACTTTCTGGAAATATGAATTTTTCTTTGAAATTCAGATACCGCCCGCCAAATTACTTTTCGGTTTCCTTCCTTCAAATTGCTGTTAATCACTCATGCGTAAAATATGCATCACGTGAGTAGCATCAACTGAAAGAGGAGACTCTAAGCTTTCCAAATATGTATCATTCATTAATTATGGTTGTGATTAAGTTATGATAAAACATCGATACTTCTCGGTTTCGTTTTTTCTGGGACGCACTGTATAAAAGGAACCTGTCTACAAAGACAACTTTTGTGTTTCTCTTGGGCAGTCAATATAGACAGGTTAGACTGTATATCTTAATGTTGTTATGCTTAGAACTCTTTCTTCTTTAATGAATAACTATTGGGGCCGCCATTTCCTAGAACATGTTTTCCTGGGGATCATTTCACGAAACCGTCATAAGAACAAGTTCTCCGACATCCCACTGAAACGTATGTCAATTACAATACATGCAATTCCATGAGATGTCAATTACAATACATGCAATTCCATTAGATGTCAATGATGTTGTACTTATGGTGGTTTCTTGAAATACTGCCTGGGTTATTGGGCTTGATCACTAGTAAAAAGCCTTGTTTGAATATTCTGGGCGGGGTCAGAGGGCGTGGCTGACCTCTATGACACATAACAAGCTCAGGGAGGTGTTTCACAGAGATTAAGATCGACATTAAGTTGTACTTAACTATGGCAGGCCGTTAATGCCACTGGTTGCTCTCACTATTGTTCTCTCAATTGTGATCTGTAATTAATATTTATTTTTTTCATCAAGAAAGGTCGATTCTGTAGATTTGTGACCACGATTTGTAAGTCCCTTCAAGTTAAGTCCAATCTTAATGTTGATCTTAGTCTTTGTGAAACACTCCCCTGATAGGGCATACAAATCACTGTATACAATATACCTTTCATAAACTAGACCATAAAATCATACACAGACCTCTCACCTGCTTAAGCTTACTCTCCAGCTCCAAAGTCTTTTCTTGGCCTTCCACCGGTCCATACCGGGCGGGGTCGAGGGGCGTGGCTGACCTGACTGCATCTTTCATCTCACTGGCTAAGTCCATCCAGTTATTGACCGCTGTCCGTTGAGCCTTGGTCAGACGATCGCTGTCCTGGAAGGCGGCAAAGATCTTGGACGCCTCGTCCGTGCACACGCGGAAGTGAGACAGTTCATTTCTTAATCTGCAAGATTTTTTATACAAGATGAAAGAACGTTCATTAAAAACAATGATAAAAGGAAGCCTAACAATTCTTCACATCCTTACGACAGACATTGGCCAAAATTCACAAAGGAGGTTTTTCGACAGACCTAGGTATATGTGCGTCATATGACACGTTTCAAACCATGATTTGTCTGAACCTTGGTTGTAAACACATCGAAACGCGTCATATGACGCACATAGACCTAGGTTTGTCGATAAACCTCCTTTGTGAATTCGGGCCAATGAGTTTGAAGAGCACCAGAGTATTGGTTACTAATTCATCCTTTCTCGACCAGAAATGGTCTTGGGGTGCAGACACCGTCTAAATAGGTGTAGATGTTGCAGATTCAAATTGCTGGCGGTTTATCTCTCTTTCTGGTTTCCTTTTTACGTACATTCTCACTCTAAGCAAATTATTCACCTTGTGATCTGCTCTTCTAGATCCTGCACTCGCAATGTATCCGGTCCCTGTAATAAGTAATGAAAAACATCAGCATGAAAGAAGAGCTAAGAAGCATTTCTCAATTTACAGGTGCAGTAGGTCATCATTCAGTATGGCAAAAAAAATATTGACCAGGCATGGTTTTACTGGTGGGAAATGTGCAACTACACAATGGGTGCGCATGAAGTTAGCAATGGATACACTTCTGTACATACTGTATTAATACACTTTGACATGCATAATTTTGTTTAAAAATCTCTTAAAGAACTGACACAGAGGATGTAGTTAATAAAACAAATAATGACTGCTCATTTTTCACATCACTTTCAAAACTAGTGATCTCGAGACTGCACTACCCCTTCGAGTTCATCTCAGGTCACACTACAGTTTCGGGCTCCCCTTGTAGGTTTTAGCGCTTAGAGACTTCGGTGGTAAGCGCTTTATAAGTAACGTTTTTATTATTATTATTATTATTGTACAATAGTTTTAACTGTGTCCTTCAAAGCAGACAATTTCTGTAAACTATCTACATGTTCTCACCACTTCAGTATTAGCTGTAGTAAGTCTATGTCGTTGTAGTTCATCTCTCAATGCTTGAATCTCTGTTTGCATCTCAGCTATACGAGTGGCCTGCTTGTCTTTGTTCACGATAGGTTTGTTCTTGATGTTGCGAGCCTGAATCAAAGTAGGAGAAAAAGTATATTTCATTCTAACAAGTCTTCTTTTTTGGGGGCGCAAATTGTTACAAAAACATCGATCAGTAACAAATCTAGACACCTTTTAGAAGCACTTAAAGACCTATTTATTTAACTGATTTCCCCGCCTTAAAACCATGTAAAGCGCTGTGAAACAAATTGCTTGAGAGCGCTATATAAATGAACATATTATCATTACTATTATTATTTTTATTATTATGTTGTTAACGTAGTTTCACATCAGAAAAGAATCTTTACTTAGGGCGAACTGAACAAACCAGGGCTCTATTTCACAAATCTTGTCATCAGTGAAACATGACAGTTTTTGTTATAAGCTACTTAATCCTTGCTTCTAATTGGTTATTAGCAGATTTGTCACTGATCATTGAAAGAAGGCTTTGTGAAACAGGTCCCAGAACTGGCCTTAAATAAGTCAAGACACATTGGCCCGAATTCACAAAGGAGGTTTAAATTTAATCCAAGGTTTAAACCCTCATTTACATAACCCATGGCTTAAAATTAGTGCAAATATTGGACCTCTGTGGCGCTAATTTTAGACCATGGGTCATGTTAATGAGGATTTAAACCATCGGTTGAATTTAAATTTCCTTTGTGAATTCTGGGCCATTGAATGTCTGTATTATTTCTATTTACCCTGTTTGCATATTTCAAAGAGTTCAGTGTCTCATCAAAGTTAACTGCAGAAGGACTGATACAAGTGGTCTTTATAGAGAGGTTTGACTATTACTTCTACTCACCCTGTTTGCATACTTCAAGGAGTTCAATGTCTCATCAAAGTTAACTGCAGAAGGACTGATGCAGGTGATCATGCAGGTCTTAGCGTTCCCACCCAGAGAGTCTTTCAGGAGGCGAGTGATCTTAGAATCACGGTACGGAATGTGCGTCGCTTTCCTCTTCGGGTCACTGAGGGCACTAATCACGTTGCCTAGCGACAGCAGACCGCTGTTGATATACACAGATTCTGATGGAAGAAAAGTGTACAACAGAAATATATTAATAATAATACATGAGATTTATATAGCGGCTTATCCATTTTAATTAAATGCTCAAGGCGCTTCAAAATATTAGGGAACACATTACATCATGACATTGTCTACGTTTACATAAGTAAGAAAATGCAGAAATGAATGTCTGTCTTCAAAACGTGAAATTGAACAATATATATTTCTGAACAAGAATGAAGATAATGCTAAATATATTAAACATTGCGGATGTAGTATCAAAAATAATATCACTAGTGATATTCGTTTAGATCCCTTGTTGACCACACATTGCGAGACAAACAAATACCACTAGCGATAGTATTTTCCATAAGAATGAAGTTGTAAAATCAAAATTTCCCATTTTTTAGATCTACTATCATTGAAATCATGATTTAAAAATTTCTTTCATCCAGGGAAAAAAATTTGACTGGGGTTTCAATTAGGAATGTCATGTTCATCAAATATAAATCTTTATGGTTTATTTAATGATAAATAATAAATGCACATCAATAATGTTGCAACTACTATATGATAAATTTCTACCTAGCAAACCACAAAAGAGTTTTATACAATTTTGCCACATTCTAAAGAATATGCTTGGAATTTTAGCACACCATTCAAAATTGCAATCAAATTTGCACTACCTGCATGCAATTGCAAAGTCAAGGGGTGTTTAATGGTGATATATTTATACTAAGATACAAAAAAAGGGTTGAAGACGAAATAACCATCTTTGTATAGAACTTTAAAGCATATCTGCACTAGTTTGGCCAGGAGGTTTTAGACCACACAGCGAGGTCACTGACAGGTACATGCAGCTATCTCATCAACTCAGCTCTCAATTAACATACAAAATACAAGATCATGGGGGACCAACAGGCACCGATTGGGAAGTTTTCTATATAGAGGGAGCAAGTTGCTATAAGTAGTACAGTGGGGCTTTTAATGACAGAAACACATCTAGCATCTTGAATACAAACAGTGCGTTCTGACCTTTGAACCTCTCGCCTGCATTGCCAGTCCGATGAGCCCTCTCCGACCCAGCCAGATCAACAAAGTGAAACTTAGCGGACATGAAGTGATAGTCCTGACCGTCGTCCTCGTCTGAGAGCTCGTCTTCTCCACGGGGCGAGATGACAGGGGACGATGAGGGAGAGTTAGCGCTTGCTTTCCATCGTTGGTCTGAATGCAACCATGTAAAACAATAGAGAATGAAAGAGTTATTATGGGGTGTTTCATACAATGAATGGGCTTGTTCAGTAGAAATAAAAGACACTGGCTCTCCATCTCTGGTCTGAATGCACCCAGGTATAACAATAGAGAATGATAGAGTTACTATGGGACATTTCACACAATGAAGGGGCTTGTTCAGTCAGAAAAGTAGACCAGAAGTTTGAATGAACCATTCAACCCAAGATGGTCAAGATGCAATGCTATTGACAGGAATACATGTAGATGTTTACATTTGATATAAACAATAGAAATGTCTGTTCATGACTTGTCTAAACTCATCCATAAGAAAAGTAAAAATAAAATGTGATCGCCTCAAATGGATTGAAATGCTTCTGCATATTCAGTTCTAAGATCATTACAATTCAGTCAAAAACGTGTGGAAGCTTCGTTGGAACTCACCCATGAGAAAGTAAATATGATCGGTTGGAATGCTAATTCATAGTCCAGGGAATAATTTTCCTGGTATCGCATCGCAATTTGCTATGCATTTTTGCATGACTGCTACACAAAATATTGTTTGTGTAGCAGTTTTCTTCCATAGAAATGTACAGAATTTCATTTGAAATATTTATCCATCAGCTGAAATTGCTAATCAAAATATTTGAGGAAAATTATTCCCTGATAGTCAGTACTAAAATCATTCTAATTACATGCATATTGGTCAAAAATGTACATTGGAGCTTTGTCTGAACTCATCTATAAGAATGATAAAGATACAATGTGATCGACTGGATTGCTCGTTCATATTGGAACTAGAATCATTACAGTCCAGTCCAAAATGTATGGAAGCTTTGTTTGAACTCACCCACAAGAATGGTAAAGATACAATATGATTAATTGGAATGCTCGTTCAAACTCAGTAGTAAAATGTGGTTGGATGAGCAAGTGTGTGCTTGTAATGCTCCCCAGGGAGTGGAGAATGTGCATACATTGTGTGCGGGTAAGCCTAAAACCGATGACCGGGTTAATAATATATACTGCGCCTAGAAACAAAGTATTAGGTGCATTATAAATGTGATCTATTATCATTAAAATCATTACAATTTCCAAAACGTATGTAAGCTCTGCCTGAACTCACCCATGAGAATAGTAAAGATGGAATGTGATCGGCTGGAATGTTCGTTCATGTTGGTAGCTCCTGTGTGTCTGTGGGTGGAGCCTATCTCTAAGCACCGCAGGACATCATCCATACAGCTACAGGGGATCTCAGACGTGCCTAGGATTACTGCAAGAAAAAGTAAACAGTGTCACAATATCCAGTTGACTGACTAAACCACAAGGTTACCACAAGGTTGCTTGATTGCTAGGTGCCTTGTTTAACCCTGTAAGTTGGGGCTCTGATCGGATAGGAAGATCGGAGAAACACCCTCGCACCTTTGATTGATATCGGATCGGAAGAGCGACAAAAAAAATCAGCTGATTTTTTTTTTTTTTTAATGAGGTATGTAGGTATGCCTTATAATCCAAGATGGCGGCCCGCATGTTTTGCCTCTGCTCTTAGACCAATATTATTAATTTCAAAGTCATGAAAAGGCACTAAATATCAACAAACATGGTCTACAACAACTCCACATGGCAAAATAATCCCAGCTATGATTTTTTTTAAGCATTTGATAGCCAAAAACTTGAAAAATTTTGGCATTAAAAAAAAAAAATCTGCCAATTTTTTCTGATCATTTTAATTGATCGGCGATCGGAATTTATTATCCGATCACCCCTGATCGGATCGGTATCGGCGTCCGATCCCATGATCGTTTACAGGGTTAGCCTTGTCTGTTCCCAGACATTGGTGATGCTGCCAGCAGGCTTTCTATCTCCATCTACTGCCGGCTCTTCGTAATGTGACTTTACTTGAGGAGGTGCGATAGCTCAGTTGGTAGAGCAGTGGTCTCATAATCCGGCGACCCGGGTTTGAAACCAAGGCACGGTTTATAAAGAAGAACCCACTTGTTGATATATGAAATTTTTCAACACAAAATTTGAATTTACATTTCTGAAACTAGAGAAGTAAAAGAATACAACAATATAAACTGCAACAACATAGATTACTATGCACAATACATTATATATGAAGGGTAACACACGCACAAATATTTGTGGTTACTGTCTTTTCTCTCTCTCTCTCTCTCCCTCTTTCTAACTGACTTTCCCCCCTTATGTATGTATCTAATGCCTGGATTACATTTGGCCTGCGATTAGTCTACGGAGCCCGTATCCTGCCCGTATCCCCTTTTCCGTGCGGCCTCTGTGCGGAGGCAGGAGGCGGCCGTGAGATTTTTGTACGGATTCACGGGCTCAGCAGCCTTTACGATTTTGTTTCACAAGAAGTTAAACAAATTTGAAAAAATGGTAAGCCCGTAGCCTGTATACATGTCGTAGGTTGCATTGCACAATCCCCGCACGGGCATCGCCCGGAGGCCTTGCACTGATTGTGCAGCAAACGTGCGATTTTTCGGGGGACACGGCTGTACGGTCACCGCTCCTCCGCGCAACCTTTGCACGGAAGCTGCACAGGCTCCGTACGATTTCCGTGTGGAGGCTGCGGAGACTGCACGGCTACTGCATTCAAATTGCACGATTTCCGTACAATCTCCGAGCAGCCTCTGTACGGATTTGCCCTGACCTGCCCCCGAGGGCCAATACAATAAATGGCACGATGCTCGTAGATAATGTAAACACAAACGTCGTAGCCCGTAGCCTCCTACGATGTCTACAAAAATCGTAGACTAATTATCGTACGTCGCCCGGGGCAAATGTAATTCAGGCATAAGTGCTGCTTTTCTCCTCTCCCATTTCCCCCCTTTTTTTTTGGTTGCTTTATTCACCTTTATCTCCTTTCCCCTTCATTCTACATGTATATCCCTGTCAGTGCATCCCTCCCATTAGCCCCCTCCCCCTCTTTTTTGCTCTCTCTCTCCCTCTGCCTCCCTCTTCTTTCTTTCTATTTCTGTCTGTCTGTCTCTCTCTCTCTGTCTATCTCTCTGTCTTTCTCTGCCTCTCTCTGTCTGTCCTTCTGTCTGTCTCTCTGTCTACCTCTCTCTCCCTCTCACCTGTATTTCCCTGATCATCTTCTCTGATGTGCATATCTTTACTGCTAGTCTCCATATCCAGCAGGTCTCTTAAATCTTCTTTATAAACCTCGATGTAGGACACATGGATCGTGAAATCTCGATTGTGGTTGTTCTGTAGCAGAAAAACAAAAAGAAAAACGAGTGCCAAAAATAGTTATTCTAATCGTCCCTGTCATCTCATGCCAAGATATATTGAGACAAAATCCAAGAATAGCATTACATATAACGTTTTATTTACCCAGGGTAGCCACTTCAGTTATAAAACTGCTCTTTCAGTGGGCCCTGCATAACATAATATGTTATTACTACCCTTCTCAAATCTAATATGCTGAGCGCCTAGCTAGAAGGCAGAAGGTCCATTGTTATAAGTCTTTGGTATGACTCGGCCCAGGTTCAAACCCACGACCTCCCGTTCATGAAGCGGGCACTCTAACCACTGAGCCACCATGCCCGGTGAATTGTGTTCTCATCACAGTAACATGCAAGAATGACCATATACAGGATTTAAAGACGTGAACAAAACAAGTGATTGTGTAGTACTCCTCATCAGTGTTATAGCTAGAGACTTTCTTAGTGGTGGGCACAACTTCACTGACGCCATTTAAATCCTAAATCCTGACCTCTGCAACATCGCGATCGCGAGCTATAAACACGAAAAGACGTGTGTACTAGGCACTGATCAAAACAAGTTCAGCTCTAATCAAATGAATAAAAAAATGAATACTTGTTAAAGATATAACCTATTTCTTTAAAAAATCTATTTCTGAATCATTGTTATTACAACAACAACAACAACCTACTGCGGTTGGATTTAGGACCTTCTTACCTGAATGTTCTCAAAGATGTGACCTATTGCCCTGGGTATGATGCCTTGTTCATTCTCTGGAATGTTGATCACATCAGCTCCACCAATCGTGAAGGTTTTACCAGACCCCTGTCATGAGAAGAAGAAAAAGTTATTAAAAGATATGAATATTGTCAGGGAGCTTCTAGAAAAGTTCTCGTGAGCCATCACGAGGTGTCGTGGTCGAGCGGATATGTCACCGGACTGTGGATCACAAGGTTATGACCTTCTTACCCAAATCTTGATAACGATATGACCTACTGCTCAAAAGAGAAATACCTTGCTTTATTTCTAAATTATTGTAATTACAATATTGTGGTTCAAGTCCCGCCGCGGCACTAATGTCCTTTGACAAGACATTGATCTACATTTGCCACTCTCCACACACACATGCTGTCTAATACATACCGTTTGACCATAAGCAAACACTGTTGCATTGTAACCCTCAAAGAAACTGGTGATGAGGTTGTCAACACAAGTTTGGTAGATTGCTTCCTGTAAAACAAAATGAGAGAAAAATGTTTAAAAAAACAAGAGAAATATGTAAAAAAACAAGAGAAATATGTAAACAAAACAAAAGAAACAAATAAACAAAACATGTACAAAAAGACATTCCATGAGATTCTGCAAAATACATTACATGTACATGTAAAATAGATTGTTGAGTTAAATTTCACACTTTAGCTGCAAGAAGTTTGAATACCTCAACTATTGACAATCAAGGTACTTTGGCCTTATAACACATTACACATTCATATATTTTGTTTGGAACTTGCAAACCGGTAGTTTACATCATTAAGGAAAGAAATATATCTATATCTTTTTATTCATTTTCAAAGTTATGGGGCGGTCACACATAGGGAAAGCATGGTAATTTTGTTCTGATAGGTGTGTGTCTTCACTCATTACTCACTCGTTGAGTGCGCTAGATCAATGCTATGCATTCAAAGTCATTTGCTGTGTGCATCAGGATTTTTTGTACATGCACAAAAATGTGTGCGGAGCTCGACCCATAAATGTACGCACCAAAAGGACGCCAGACACGTTAGCCCAACATCAGACATACACAGAGCACACGCCCGGTATACGCACAGTGCGCTAGCAACAAGCTATGCATTCAGTGTTAGCTCGCTAGCTTCTCACAAATCCCTACAAAAGTTGGGAGCACAACCTTTTTCGATTTTCAAGGCACGGACCGTGCATCGTCTACATGTACTGTATGTGTGACCGGGCCAATACCAAATAACTACATTTTTAAGGAAAGACCTAAACATGTCTTTCATTCACAGAACCAAGACACAAGTTAATTATTGCAGATATCTAGTGACTTCATTGAGTCATGTTACTTTACCTGAGATGTCTTTGATGACATCACATGATCAAAGGTGAACGCCCTGTCCTTCCCGACTACAATCTGGTTTGCCTTAGAGTTGACCTTCACACATAGCTCATGGTGATGAAGACGCTCCTGAGCCAACAGAGGGCGCACCTACAAAAATGAATTAAATGTAGTCAGCTTTTCTAGGAATATTAATTTGTTTGGGGGGGGGGGTGGTGGGGAGGGGCGCGAAAATGAAATGTATACATTATACATGTTCGTCTTATTATTTATACTCTCTGCAGATCTGTGAATTGTGCATTAAGGCACAACATTTTGGAAAATTAAGCACACTAGTTTCTTCTTCTTTTTCTTCTTCTTCTCCTCCTTCATCTTCTTCTTTTTCTTTTCACTGATCATTTGTTTATCTTTCTGTTATATTCTCTTTGGAGCTAATATCAGACACCTATTTAAGCATCAATACATGTTAAACATTGGTGTAAAACCTCAAAACTACAGATAAGGAAATGTAGAGAAACATGACAAAATATTGGAATACTTCATTTCCTAAAATTACAAGTTGTGTACATATAACAAATTTTTTCGAAATAATAATAAAAATAATAAAACAGTCCTTATAAAGCACTTTCTATCAAAGTCTCTTAGCCACGCTATTTCATTAAAACTGCACAATTGATGCATGTATATAACAACAGTACAACACACAACATTTCCAGTAGGTTCCTGGTATAAACTTCTTCCACTGGTGTAAATATACAAGCACGAAGATCAAAGAAAGACACTTAAAGCCCATCTGTACTAGTTTGGCTTGGAGGGATTAGACCACCCAGAGAGGTCACTGACAGGTGGCGATCTCATTAACTCAGCTCTCAATTAACATAAGAAAAAGAGGATCATGGGGGACCAATGGTCACCGATTAGGCATTGTGTTCTATATAGAGGGAGCAAGTAGCTACAAGTAGTACAGTGGGCCTTTAAATTTACAAAAAATGAGAGAGCATCCTCAAAATAGTTGAGGACTCTTGACTTGAGAACCTACCCTGACGGCTACTCTGACTGGACACTCCTGCATCTTGTTTCAATCCTCAAAGCTCATCTGTATCTGGACCTGAAAAATCAAATGAAAAACTTAAATTTAAAGATAAAGGTGAGTGCAAATGACATTTATTTGTAACATTTGAACATTCAGTGTAAGTTTCGTTTGATTCTGTGAGAATTCATTTCTGATTGCATTGTGAAAGAAAATGTGTGGAATGGATCAGAACAAGTTGATCATGTAGTATGTAAGTAGGCCCTATTGGTGTGTACTGCAAAGTTTTTGTACATGTAGTCATCAAAATCATAAAAAAATTGACCCAGTCTTGGTAAAGGAACAAGCACTGTACACAGAAAGATGTACAGTACCGTAGACGAGAGTCTTCATGCATGGCTGATTGTCAACGAAACAGAGTTAAGTCTTTTGTCAAATCTGCTTTTTGCTACGGCAGGCACCCAGTGAAAACGAATTCGTTTGTTAAAATTATGAAAATGTAAGGGCTACTTTAACAAACAGAACTTTGTTATTCCTCGCTCATTTTTCCTGATTGAGGTGTCATATGAAAGGGCAGAAACTCAACTTTCTAGAAATGTGAATTTTTCTTCGAAATTCAGATACCGCCCGCCAAATGTCTTTTTGGTTTCCTTCCTTCAAATTGCTTTTAATCACTCATGCGTGAAAAATGCATCATCGGAGTAGCATCAACTGAAAGAGGAGACTCTAAGCTTTCCAAATATGTATCATTCATTAATTATGGTTGTGATAAAGTTATGATAAAACATCGATACTTCTCGGTTTCGTTTTTTCTGGGACGCACTGTATATGGGACTATACACAAATGGTGTCGGGGCTACCAATCTTGATTTCCTAATCTTTCTATGCTCATTACTCAGCCAGTATACATTTTCTACCAAAATCGTTTAGCAAATGACATTTATTTGTAATCTTGAACATTCAGTGTAAGTTTCGTTTGATTCTGTGAGAATTCATTTTCTTTTTTTTAACCAGAAGTCACCTTTATCTTTGAATTTAATACAGTCCTTATCACAGAGACTGTGTTCGAATTACAAAAAATTTAGAGTAATCTGGGAATTGTTTAGCAAGACCGTCATAAAGTACATGTACACTAATTCTGAGACAGACATCTCATTTAAATTGTGTTATTTTTAATACACACATTAACAATTTCAAATTTCAATCCAATAGACCAGTTCGTAGTTAGCAAATGGTCATATGACCCCTAACTGTGTGCCTTTTGGAAAAATCACAGCTAAAGACATGGGCCCGTATTCTGAAGTCGTGTCTAACTCCTGTTTAACTAAACAGTTGTCTAAGTCCTGTCTAAGTCCCGTCTAACTTTAGACACGAAGCTGTGTCTAACTTTTTTGGTATTCTGAAGTCGTGTTTAAATAAAGTTAAACACGAAGTCCTGTCTAAGTCCTGTTTAACTTTAGACAACTGCGAGGGGTTGTTTAAGTCCTGTTTAAGGGCGCGATTCTGCTGCTTTTCAACGTTGACGGTACACTCTACTTGCTGACCCCGAACTTGCGGGGGAGAACGATGGTACGTGCATTCTCTAAAATTTCAAATACGTTTTGCAGGATTTTTTTCTCGTGTAGCCTAATTTTTTTTCTCGATAATATTAACTATTCTTATCTACTGGTGACATCTTGGAAATTCCATAATCTATAATAAACTAACCATTCTGTTGGAGAAGTTTCTTTTCTGGTTCTTCCAAGCACTGAGGCACTGATAAGTAGTGTGTTTTCAATCTCAGTGTACAGTACCAGTACGTGTACTACGTACGTACTACACAAAGTACATGCAGTCTAGTCATTACGTCACGATCACATCACCATGGTACCAGCACGCGCACAGCTAGCTGTGCGCGTTAATTTATTTATCCGGTGCGCGCACGCATGCGCATTGGGTCTTACGTCAGAATTAACGCCTACTGGGCATGTGCAGAAGTCGTGACTAAGAGTTAAACACGACTTGCGCAGAACTTAAACAGTTGTTTAGTTAAACACCACTTAGACAGGACTTAAACAGTTGTTTAGTTAGACAAGACTTAGACACGACTTCAGAATACGAAATTTAGTTAGACAGGAGTTAGACACGACCTCGCGTCTAAGTCCTGTCTAAGTCGTGTCTAACTAAACAGTTGTTTAACTTTAGACGTGGCTAAGTTAGACACGACTTCAGAATACGGGCCATGGAGGTGATTCTTTGTTTGCCCTCTAGAAAAGAGTACTTCCACCTGTGTTCAATAGAATGCATCACAGGTGCATGCATAAATAATGATTACCGGTACATAACTTTCATGAGCATGTATCCTGTATTAGTCTCAGTGGGATTTAGTGATTTACAATTTTGTTTAAGTGACCTTTAATTTATCTGCGCATGCGCAGATCAATCCGCGCATGCTCAGACTGTATCTATGAACTGCAACTGGTATATTAAGTTTGAACCATACTTGAGACGGGATGCAACAGTAAAGAGGGACAAATAAGCTAAGCCTCCAATGTGATGGGACTCCCTGTATTGTGACTCAATTAATAAATGTTCTAGACGCAACAAACACTCTCTCTCGAACGATAACGTTCTTATTAGTCATCTTTAGACTCTATATCCCTCTTGAGGATCATGACCAGGGGCGGTATTCTGAACCCTGTGTTATCTCTAATCTTGTATCTTTGAAGATAAGATAAAGTTGGTATTCTGAACACTGTTGTATCTTTTGTGTTATCTTTTGTTGTATCTTTTCTCTTATCTCTTTGGCCGCACCTGCGCTCATACTTTGGTGCGCTTGTAATTGTGCGTACCATTAATACAATGGCATTTAATCCTCATTTGCATATGCGCACGAGAGATAATATGTCGAGATAATTGGTATTCTGAAAGTTGTTGTATCTTTTATCTTATCTTATCTTGCATGGTATTTACAACAATATTTACAACAGGTAGGGGGTTGTTGTATCTTTTGTGGTGATATAATGGCGGCAATCTCTCTTGCCCAAAACCAACTACGTGCCAATAGACGAGTTAGAAGAAGATTGTGTGTTGACCGGAAACATCACAGATGAGAACTTCCTAAGAAATTACATGCTAGGATATGACGATTTTAATGCTCTCATCTTAACCAATATAGTGAAAGCGTGATTTGTCTTCATGATCCACATGCCACAGCGCATAATGATGACGCGCGTAATAAGCGCTCAAATAACTAATTACGCCCAAGATTAGTATGCGCTAGGCGCAACTTCAGATATGGCAAAAAGTATTCCTATTGGTTGACCTACTTATTATGCTTATATAAAACAGATTTTGATTGGTAGGGTCCATACAATTGGGCATGTCAACAGTGGTCAAAGATAAGATAGAGGTGGTCCTACGAGAGATAACACAGGGATAAAATGATGTTCAGAATACCAACTTACAACAATTTTAGCGCTGTGTTATCTCTGGAAGATACAACAAAAGATAACACAAAACTTACAACAATGTTCAGAATACCACCCCTGGATCAGAACAGAATCAGAACCAGTCTCTACACCTAAGTATACCCAAGTAAGTGTAAGTAAGTCAATTTGGGTGTCGGTTAACCGAGTGAAACCTATGACCGTTTTGTGAAGCGATACCCTGGATTTAGTCTCAATAATTATAAGTTGTTTAAGTTTTTTTTTAAATGAACTTAGTATTTATGAAACCTCCCATGATAGCAGTAACCATGGAAGAATCCTGGATCTACAGGAGACCTTACTTAGACCTACAACATTGTGTATTAAAGTGTATTAAAGGCACACTGTCCTACTTGTAGCTACATGTACTTGCTCCCTCTATACAGAAAAATTCACCAATCGGTGCCTGTTGGTCCCCCATGATCCTCTTTTTCTTATGTTAAATGAGAGCTGAGTTAATAATGAGATAGCCACCTGTCACAGTGACCTCGCTGGCTCACTGGGTGGTCTAATCCCTTCAGGCTGAAGTAGTAAAGCCTGCCTTTAAAGTAAAGTAAAGAAAAGTAAGTAGACTAGTATGATCAAAGCCATGTCGACGGGACAATGAAAGGAAAATCATTCATTTTCCATCCAGGTTTTAAGGAGTTAGATCTACTCAGTTAGGCCTAGATCTAGAAGTCTACTGAAAATAAACAAATAATGACTGCAAAAACAGATAGAAAGTTCATAATTCAACAAAGTAACATAAACTCCTTTCTCATATTCTACTTTAATCAATACAAATCACTAAAAGTCTAAGCTAGGGTTTGCAATGTCAGCGATACATGCCAGCGGCTAGCGGCGCTCTCCGAAACAGACCAGAGCAGAGGTAGGGCTAGGGAAGCGGGCGGGGCCGGGGCAGCGGCCGGTGAAACCAGCTGAGAAATCCTACAGAGATAAACATCGGATCTCACACAAACACACCAAAAGAACTCTAATATTTACGAATTTCATACCGCCAAATCCGACTAAACGTGAACCAAATTTACATGAAGTATATGATCACACATCACATACCATTTATCATCGAGGAATGCCACCATAAAATGGATAAAAATAGTGTTTACTTACGTGACTCATCCTCCGTAAATTCTTTCTATGCTTATTTTTACAGTTGAACGGTACGAACGAACGACGCGAAATCTTATTGTTTTCCTAGGTTTTTATTGTAGAGTCGTGTGCCAGTCGTTTTCAAGAAAACCATATTCCCATACGCGTGACATTATGTCCACTAAAATGAAATTAATTGCCTCAACGTCTGATCCTAACCTAAACTAATACACAACTAGGCGTTGTACCAATGGAAGTTACAAACTGATTCAGCCGGGGAGCGCATATTTTTTTTACACAACTGTTTAGCCATTTTCGCGAAAAAGTTCCAAAAAGTGCTCTGGTGAAAGAGTCTAAGTCGTCAGCGCACTATACAAGCACGTACTCCCAGGGAAGGGAAACTGATAGAAAGGGAAAAACAAGGATAGTGGAGAGGATATGGAGAAGGAAAAACTAGGAAATACATAAGGAAAGAGAAGAGGATAAGTCAAAGGAAGAACATAGAAATACATAATTGAAGAGCTAAGATGAGGCATAGACTAAGGAAAAACAGGGAAATACATAAAGAAGGAGAAAGGAAATCTATCAGATTTAAACAAAGGAATAGATGACGAAAGAGAAAAGGATAGATTGAAGGAGAAACAAAGAAATACATAAAACAAAAGAGAAGAGGATAGAATGAAGGAGAACAAAAGAATTACATAACGAAGGAGAACTGGGGGTAGATTAATAATTGTGGAAAAACAAAGAAATATATAACGAAGGAAAAAAAGATAGATTGAAGATAAAAAAAGAAATACATGACAAAAGAGAAGAGGATAGATTGAAGGAGAACACAGAAATACATAATGAAAGAGAAGAGAGGATAGATTTAACCCGACACAAATGACGAGTATAATATGTACACTGTGTAACACTGCTAAGGGTAATGCTAGACTCTGTCTCTAGTCGTTTGCACAGTATATTTGACTGAAGTGGCTAAACAGTTGTGTAAAAAAAATATGCGCTGCCGGGGACAGGGGCGTCTCCAAAGGGGGGGGGGGGGGGGGGTGGACCCCCCCCCCCCCCCCCCCCCACACTCGTCAGGATAGTGTCGGTAAAATTGGGCTGCCGTCGGGAAAAGAAAAAAAAGGGGGAGGGGGGAAAGAGAAGGAAGGGAAAGAAAAGAAGAAAAAAAAAAGGAAAGAAAGGAAAAAAAGGAAAATAAGGGAAACAAAGGAAAAGAATGAAAGAAAAGAGAAGAGGGAAAGAGAAAAAAGTAAAAGAGGGAGGAGAGGAAAAAAAGGAAAAGCAAGCAAAAAAATAACAGGAAAGAAAAAAAGAACAGAGAGAAAAGGGGAACCAAAAAAACGGGGGATGAAAGAGAGGAGAGAGAGGGGGAGGTAAGAGCCTGAGAGAGGAGGAGTGGGAGTAAAAGGGAGACTGAAAAATTGTGGTAATGGGTGACCCCAAAAAGCTGACCTTACCCCCCCCCCCCCCCTACAAAGCGAAATATCGATCGGCCAATTTTCCAAATTATGGGACACACACACACAAAAATGTGCTCTTACCCCCCCCCCCCCCCCCCCCCCCCCTCCCCGAATGACAAACTCGCGAATTTCGCCGGGAAATCATATATTAAAATATTCCCGATGAGGCATACAATATGTGGCACTAGTAAAACGTCACGTTTGCTATTTCCTACTTATTGTATCAATTAACATAATATATATAATTTTGATTTTCAGAATACGATTTGCAAGAAATAAAACGTTCGTGTGTGCCTGAAAATCAGCCAGATGTAGTATTCTTTTCTCATCCTTTATTTTTAAAACGAGAAAGATACCTATTATGTTAGAATTATATATAATCAATAAATTATGATCGTCCAGCTATCCTTCTTCTCTCCCCCCCCCCCCCCCTCTCTCTCTCTCTCTCTCTCTCTTTTCCTCTCTCTCTCTCTCTGACTCTCTCTGTCTCCCTCCCTTTCGCTCTGCTAAAACGCCTCTTTCTCTCCACCGTTATGCCATCTCTCTCTTACTCTCTCAATATCTCTGATCTATCCCTCTCTACTTCTCTCCCTCTCTTGTTTTCATTCAATCTCTCTCCTGCTTAAAAAGAAAGACTGGCATGATAACAAAATGAATAATAAAGTGTTATGTCCATTTGAAGTGGTAAAGAGAGAGAGAGAGAGAGAGAGAGAGTGTGTGTGTGTGTGTGTGTGTATGTATACGTGTGTATCTGATATGTGTTGTTTGCGTATTATACAGAGAGATAAAGGGATATGGATATGAAGGTAATCGTATGGAAAGATAACGATTTCAGAAAGAAATTCACAAGCGTTTCAGACCTCAAATACATTAATCAGTAATGCTTAAGACAGCAAGAATAAAACAGATTTACATATATAGATTTATATAGGTTTGCTTGTATAATAGATATATTATACATTCATCGTAATACAAATAACAATATATGTCTTGACCGTGTTTTACTTCACGGTGTTCAATCACAAAGCTCATAATACATGTGTATCACATAGCAAGAGTTAATAATGTATGTACATCTAAGCCATAACATAATGTTTGAATGTTTCACAATTAGATATCAAGTCGAAAAAGAAGCCGAAATTAAAGTTGCTGTTAATGTTATTATAGGCCATACAAGTAGTGTGCTTGTCCATTATTATCTGGACTCAAGCTGAAAGGACGTTATACACTTTTCTATGGCAAAAGTTTTAATTTGCAAGATCGAATTTTAACTGAACGAATTTCAATAACGATTAATGCCTCCACTTAGTTTCGCACGAAATAGAATAAACTTGGGGTTATATTTGGATTGTCATTTCACGGGATTTGGCTGAAAACCTATATTACACACCATTTTAAAGCTAAAACTATGCATTGATAGATAGATAGTTTATTGGTTTCCATAATATCTCATTTTACAAAGAGTGTAACAACATATTGAAAATGATTATTTTATACATGCACATACAATGCCGGTACACACTATTCAGAATATTGTCCATTAAGTTTAACTTAAGAGAAAAAGTGGCGGAGCCTATGGAAAAGCAGAGCTTGTTGTGGATAGGCTCCTTAAAACTAAAAATGACATAATTAACTAAAGTAAAGTTTATAAAATACAAATACACGCTAAAAGAGGGAAAGGGGGATTACAGGGAAACATGAACCGATACTCACAATTAACTACAAAAGACAAGGAAAGGGGAAGGGAATATATCTGCAGCTTATTGAAACAATATTAAAATATAGTTTGTTCTCGATATGAGTATATAATAAACATAGTTGGTATGGTCATACCGTTAGTTACTTATTGTAATGAACAAAAGTATACAGTTTGGAGACAAGAATGGTCAGGAATCAGGAATGACAATATGTATTTAAATAATAACTTTTCAATTTTCTTCTGAATACATGTACACTTACAGACCTTTTAATCACAGAATCGAGAGAATTCCAGAACTTAGGACCTGTATATATTAAGGTGTTTTGAGCAAAGCTTGTTCTCGTTCTAGCAAGGTGATAGGAAAAGGCCTGTCGGGTAGAATATTCGTGGACTTGATTTCTTTTCTTAAACAAATAAGATAGTGCCTGGGGCAATTCGTTGTTATTCAGCTGAAACATGAGGCAGCCTAATTGTAAATTAAAAATATCCCGAACTCTCAGTACTTTAGTATTAAAGAAAAGAGGGCTTGAGTGAGTACGAATAGGTACATTGAAAATTGTTCGTATTGCTCTTTTTTGAACAACCTGGATTTTGTCCAGTTGAAGTTTCAATGAACTACCCCAGGCAAGAATACCATAGTTCAAGTAAGGCAACATTAAAGTGGAGTACAACATTCGCAATACATATGATGGCAACATAGGTTTTAGTTTGTATATCACACCTGCATTTCTTGATAGTAATGAACACAAATAATTTGTATTTATTTTCCACTGACATTTTATCATCGATAAACAGGCCAAGAAACTTGGTCGATTTTACTTTCTTAATTGTAACATTGTTGAAATAGATATCTCCAGGTAAATCGGAGATTGAATTGCTAAATAATATGAAATTAGTTTTGTCCAAGTTCAGTGACAGTCTATTCGCAAAAATCCATTGTGCAATATTCTCAAGTTCCGAATTTACAGTGATATATGCTAGTCGGATTATAAGCCGCACCTGACTGTCACTGAAAGAAATAGGCATATATATATATATTGTCTCATTAGAAATACAGAATTGTGGTCTTGAATTTATGAAAGACATTTCTGCATACTTCTTTAATGTATTAAACGCAGTGATAACGATGATAATCATCAAATCTGTTGATTGCTGTCAAAAAGTAGTGTAGTAGAATACCAAAACTAGCCTTAGATATTTAGTACTACAATTAACCATTTTAAAACCTCAAATATTTTGTGGGGGAGTGTTTGCGTGTAGGTATAGTGCTAATATAGCGGAAAACTTGACACACCATCTCTTGACAATTAAACAACACATTCACTTGCTCTTACAACTTACTTACTATTGTGGCTTTACTGGCGTGACTGCATGGAGAGTAGGCATGCTGTGCGATTATAGTTACATTATAACCTGGCATAATCTCAACGATCTTCATTTGTTTTCCTTCTTAATTATAGTATAATTATATTGTCCTAATACTAACAAATGCTGGATGCATTGCTTTTAAAGAAATACATATCATAAAATTAATGATGGACGGTTCACAAAAAGTTTGAATACTTTATTGGCGTAATTCAGTAGATTAGTTTTTATTGTCGTAAAACACACAAGGTAGAATAAATTTCTTGAAAACAAACGTGTTTTTTCTAAATAACGGTGTTTTGTTAGTTTGTTTGATGGGATGTTTGATAACACATCAAAGAAAGATCTTTAATTCCTTGACTTTTGACGTATCAAACTTAATTTTAAAGGGCATTTATCGAGTCCTTATGTTGCATGTTTTCTCATACATTAATGATCACGCAATCATATCAGTTGTCCAGTAATTCGTCAACATCGATCAACACCTTTCACCTCTGCAACTGGGACACAGCCTGCCATTCTAAAAAATGGCTTGT